GATACATTAGATAAGATAGATACGTTAGATAAGATAGATAAGATAGATAAGATAGATAAGATAGATAAGATAGATAAGATTGATAAGATTGATAAGATGAATAAGATTGATAAGATTGATAAGATTGATAAGATTGATAGATAGGCAGCTAGGTAGGTAGCTAGGTAGGTACATAGTCAGAGAAAGAGAAAGAAAGAGAGAGAAAGAGAGGAGACCTCAACCCTGTCGGTCCATCAGTGGCTTCGTTCTGCCATCCGTGACTCACAACAACCAACCTCTCCTATAGGTTTCCTATGGTGGCGCCTGCACAGCCAACAGAGGTGCCTGGAAGTTTGTGCTGGCGTCCTGGACTCTTTGCAGCACGAATGAGGCAATGGCATCGAGAAGGTGGAGGGCTGGAACGTCGTCGCCGTGCTGACAGACGTCGTGGCCATGCTGACGGACATCGTGGCCATGCTCAAGAACGTTGTGGCCGTGCTCAAGAACGTCGAGGCCGTGCTCAAGAACGTCATGGCCGCGCTGAAGAACGTCATGGCCGTGCGGCGGAACGTCGGACTCGTGTTGATGCTCGCACACTCAAGAAAGCCGTCAGAGGCAGGCTGCGGCATTTGGTCGCAAGGACTCCTGCAACATGGGTGGCTTTCGCGAAGATCTGTGGGCTGACGAGGACAATCCGTTTCTCAGGTTTCAGGCCACGCAGCACTTGTACAGGCAACATGCTGCAGAGGAGCTGCGAGTATGGCCGAAAGATGCTGTTGCCGTCAGTCGACAACCATGTCTCCTGTGCTCAGCCGATTTTGATGATCGGCCAGCTTTGTTGTGGAGCATGTGAGAACGGTGCACGGCGGCTTGCAGCGGTATACCGGAATGCAATGTTGGCGTTAGAGTCGTTGTCTCCACACGTTGTTGTTGGCAGTGAAGTTCGCCAACGCCACCTTTTTGCGGCACGCGTGCATGGACTGGGAAGGCAGCCAAGCCTCCCAGCTGCGTGTCCGCCGTGGCTGCGCAATTTTGCGCGAAATCGTTCTGGCTGGAAGAGTTGCTGGAAGTCTTCCTTGCCGGGGATTCGTGCTTCATGCAGAATCCGGATGCCGTTTGGACGCTTTTGTCGGTGGAACGCTACAAGCAGCGCTGGCCGAAAATTCCTGCGGCCGAGTTGGAGGCGTCTGTGCTGTGGAGGTCGGCAGCGCTGCCTCATCCTATTTGGTGCTGCTCCACCGACGTCGTGTTACTGCGGCCGCAGCTCGCGGCGACGAATCTGTTGGCGTGTGCAAAGATTGCCATCAGGCGTTTTCTGGCAAGAAGCCGCGGCTCTGTAAGTTTTCTCTGGCCAACGATCTGTGGCTTGGTCGCATCGATCCTTTGCTGTGGGGCGCAAACATGACCCACGAGATGTGCCTGGCCATGGCCCGCACGGTCGCAACGAAGGTGGTTCTGCGAGCCGGCGGCGCCCAAGCGCCGGCCGCCGGCAAGCAGTGGGACCACGTCTACCAGCAGACTGGTTACGTGGGTTCCTCATGCTTTCCACAATGGCGATGCCAAGCACGCTCTGCAGTCACTTCCTCCTGAGAAGCTCAACGACGCACTGGCCATTACCTTCTGCACAGACCTTCCGATAGAGGATGCTGACCACGGCCGGGAAGCTGTCAGCAAGATTGTGCAGCTGCGGCTGCGGAAGGACAAGTTCCTTGAACAAGCCGAAGCTTTGATGGCGACCAATGTTGTTTATTAATGCTACTGGGATCACAAAGATCGAGGACGAGAAGTTGACGCAGTGGCTTGGCGGCGAAGCAGATGCAGTGCCTCCGGCTGTTCTTGACTGTGTTGTGACAGTGCCGGTTGGCCAGTCTGGGCCATGAAGCATGCGCCAAGAAGGCCCTGCGCAAGCTACTGCTGGCAGCATTTCCTCCACGCAAGATGAAACGTTCTTTCTATGGTGCTCCGTTTGAGTTATAAGTAGTTATAACTTTAGCTATACAAAAAGTTATGAAAAGTTATGAAGTGAAGCAAATATCAACTATTTTGTCACATTTTTATAATTTAGAAAAATTGGAAAAAACACTTGTTTTTATTGTATCGAAAACAATATTTTTCATTATTTTTCTAATTATGGCGGTTGAGCCGCTTCGAAGTTGTTTTTTTGAAAAATGCGCGGTTTTCACCGCTTCCATGGCTGAGGGAATGTGCAACTGTTTTTTAAACAGAACAGGCCACTGTGGGAGTGCGCAAATTGCAGCATTTCCTGTGCAAAGATCCAACAGCATATGGCGCAACCGGACAAAATTGAATTCCATTCCTCTCTGCTGTTCATTGGCTGAATGCACTATGTCATAGCAAACATTGCTGTACTGTAGTGTATCGACCTTGCTTCTAGTGCAACCACTGACAGTGCCTGGCAATCTCTGCTTGGCACATCTGCAATGGCTATCCACACACAAACCAAAAAACCAAAAAAACAAAAAAACAAAAAACCAAAAAAACAAAAAACCAAAAAACCAAAAAAAACAAAAAAAAACAAAAAGACAAGACCCAACACTCTGCATCTGACCCCCTCCCCTTGGGGTGTGCAATCTTGGTTTTTTTGGTTTTTTTGGTTTTTTGGTTTTTTGGTTTTTTGGTTTCTTGGTTTTTTGGTTTTTTGGTTTTTTGGTTTTTTGGTTTTTTGGTTTGTGTGTGGATAGCCCAGACCTTGCCCATGGGTCTGAACTTTTCTTTTTTGTGTTCTCGAGGTTTTTGGCCAAACTGCAAAAAACCATGGAAAAACCAAAAAAAACAAAAAGTTCAGACCCATGTCCCCTGCCAGGCCTCTCCCAGACCTTGCCCATGGGTCTGAACTTTTTTTTTGTTTTTTCCATTGTTGTTTTGAATGTTTTTCATGTGAAGATGCTTTCATCACAGTACCTCTCAAAAAAATGCGCGTCTCTACAATTTGCACACCTGCGCCCCCCAGGCCAAACTGCAACAAAAAACAATGGAAAAACCAAAATTCATTAATGACTTATATAATGACTAATATAATGATTAATGTAATGACTTATTTTTTCAAGAATATAATGACTAATATAATGATTAATATAATGATTAATAAAATGATCAATATAATGATTCATAAAATGATCAACATCATGATTATTATAATGATTAATAAAATTATTAATTTAATGATTATTAAAATGAAGAGTTTAATGATTAATATCATGATTATTATCATGATTCATATAATGATTAATGTAATGGTTCATATAATGCCTAATGCAATGACTAATATAATTCATATAATGATTAATATAATGATTCATATAATGATAAATATAGTGATTCCTTTCATGATTTATTTAATGACTTTTATAATGACTAAGATAATGATAAATATAATGATTTTTGTAATGGCTGATATACTTGTTAATTTATTGACTAATTTAATGATTAATATCATGATTCATATAATGATTAATAAAATGATTAATATAATGATTCATTTAATGATACATATAACTATTCTTTTCATGATTCATTTAATGACTTTTATAATGACTAGTATCATGCTTATATTTTAAGAATGATTAATATAATGATTACTATTATGATGAATACAATGATTATAATATCATGAGTAGAATACTGACTAATTTAATGAGTTTATATACAATGAGTAATGTAATGATTAATAAAATGATTAATATAATGATTAATATAATGATTAATTTAATGATCAATATAATGATTCATAAAATGATCAACATCATGATTTTTATAATGATTAATAAAATTATTAATTTAATGATTATTTAAATGAAGCGTTTAATGATTAATATCATGATTATTATCATGATTCATGTAATGATTAATGTAATGGTTCATATAATGCCTAATGCAATGACTAATATAATGATTAATATAATGATTAATATAATGATTCATATAATGATAAATATAGTGATTCATTTCATGATTTATTTAATATCTTTTATAATGACTAAGGTAATGATTAATATAATGATTTTTGTAATGGCTGATATACTTGTTAATTTATTGACTAATTTAATGATTAATATCATGATTCATATAATGATTAATAAAATGATTAATATAATGATTCATTTAATGATACATATAACTATTCTTTTCATGATTCATTTAATGACTTTTATAATGACTAGTATCATGCTTATATTTTAAGAATGATTAATATAATGATAACTATTATGATGAATACAATGAATATAATATCATGAGTAGAATACTGACTAATTTAATGAGTTTATATATAATGAGTAATGTAATGATTAATAAAATGATTAATATAATGATTAATATAATGATTAATTTAATGACTAATATAATGATAAATACAACGGCTAATATAATGAATGTTAAAATGATTAGTATAATGATTGATATAATGATTAATATACTGATTAATATAATGATTAAAATAGTAATTCATATAACGACTAATATAATGATCAATATAATGGTTCATAAAATGATCAACATCATGATTATTATATTGATTAATAAAATGATTAATTTAATGATTATTAAAATGAAGCGTTTAATGATTAATATCATGATTATTATCATGATTCATATAATGGTTAATGTAATGGTTCATATAATGCCTAATGCAATGGCTAATATAATGATTAATACAATGATTAATATAATGATTCATATAATGATAAATATAGTGATTCATTTCATGATTTATTTAATATCTTTTATAATGACTAAGATAATGATTAATATAATGATTTTTGTAATGGCTGATATACTTGTTAATTTATTGACTAATTTAATGATTAATATAATGATATATATATAATGACTAATATAATGATTAATAAAATGATTAAAATAATGAAATATTTAATGACTGATATAATGATGATTCATTTTATGATTCATTTGATGATTAATATAATGATTCATAGAATGATTCATATAATGATTCATATAATGATTCATATAATGATTTATTTAATGACTTATATAATGACTAATAAAATGACTAATATAATGATTAATGTAATGACTGCATGGAAAAAAGTGCACTCCCACAGCGGCCAGCTCTCTAAATTTTCCACCATGCAATCTTTGGTGGTTACGTTAAATCCCCTAGTTTCAGTAATAAAATTCCCAGAAATAACATTCAAAAAAGATTCTTCTCCAACAAACAGATTTTCCCTAATTTAATCAAATTTACCCTGTGGTAATTTAACATAACTATGGAAAATCACCATTTTTGATGGGTAAATCCACTATAAATGGCCATTTTCAATAGCTACGTTAAATTACCAGAGGGTACATGTTTCCATCTATCCATCACTTTTGGCTGATGTTTTCCCATGGTTTTCCACCAGGATTTTCCCCAGGGGACCCAGGTGACTCTGCCGTTGTACGCCAACTACTGCGACCTGAAACCCGCCTCGGTGGCCCCCACGGCGCCGTCCTCCCCGGGACGACGCTCCGCAGGGGCGGCCTCACCAGGCAGAAAATGGGGGGGGTTATAACGGTTATACGAACTAACTTGGGGAGAATATAATATGGGAGAAATCATGACTAACTACTAACCCGAAATGATATGATGAAATGAGTTCTAGAGGATTGATCAAGAATTCTGAGGATTTTTTGTTATGACGTCATGGATTATGAGGATAGGGTATTCACTCATTTAGAATAACCCCCAGGCAGATCCGACTGAAGTAGTGGCGAATTGCGGTTGTTCTACTTAGTTGGTTACTTCACCAATGGTTGGATCATTGATTTACAGAGTATTTGATTGGTTTATTGATGTTTTGATTGGTTTGCTAATTGGTTCATTAATTTGTTGATCGGTGTGTTTACTGGTTCATCGATTTGTGTGTGTGTGCAATATATATATATACACTATATACACACTATACAATATGGGCGGATTAGTTACCCAAAAAAAAGATGTGGCAGACATGGGACAACCAATCATTTTGTAGGGATACCTGGATTATTGGGGTGCGAATACTCCAAAAATCAATTTCTATGCTGAAAATAAATGGTTGCCATTCCCAATGATTTCTATGAGGGTGACTTTTTATGTTTTTGGACAGGGAAGCTACATGGGTTTGTCCCTTGGATATTGGTCAAAAATTGCTACCGCAAAAAAAAACACCATTCAGTTTTTTATGAATTTCCCAATTTACCAAAACCTCCATGGCTTCCGGGATTGCCAAGTTTGCCGGAAGGTACCCAAGTTATGGCAGTTCGCGTACTACTAAACTTGTGACCCCGTACAGTCTTGAAGTTTGACCCATTTGGCATATTTTGATTTGGAAAATTCTGTTTTCGGCGGAGTTTGGATAAAGCACCATTTCTTGGTCCAGCACCGTACTCTGTCAAATTCCACCCAAAATTGCCATGATGATCTCCAGTTGACTGATGATAGGGCTGCTGGGACGACAGATGAGTTTAGGGACTTTGAAAGGTTCGTTCTTGAGTTCCATGTTGGCAGCAAAATATGAAGGTACAGTCTTCTAGTCTAGTCGTGACGATGCAAATCCTGAATGTTGATGTTCCCTCCTAAAATGATCTGGGAAGTTCATGCTACGTTTTCATTCGAGGCACTTTCGAGATGGAAATAATGTTGAAACAACATTGGCCATTGGTGAGGCTAATGGACCATCAATCATGGGAATATGAACACATAGACATGTAAGCAGAAGGAAACGACTCAGCGGGACAATGAACACAAATGGCGCTTCCTGAAATTGACCCCCAAAGCAGTGGTATTGGGGATTGACTATCTATTTTGACGCCAATGACATAACAACACTACAAAACGCTTGTCCTTACTGGCAGAGTGGCATTCCTTCCAACTGGACAGGTTTCCGACCAAAGCCTGAGTCACCGAAAGAGCCAGTGTCACCTGGAAGGGCAACAAGAGAGCGGCCACACACTGACCGAGTGATTACTGTTGACCCAAGAACACCCGCACGCCCCACTTCCAACACGCAGGAAGCTGGCAAAACGACAACAGAACAGCCTAGCGTTGAGGAGGTGGCTGTAGACCCAGGGTCACCAACAGGGCCGCAGTCACCAGCAGCTGGCAAAACTGCAACAGAGCAGCCTAGCGTTGAGGAGGTGGCTGCAGACCCAGGGTCACCAACAGGGCCACAGTCACCAGCAGCTGGAAAAACTACAACAGAGCAGCCTAGCGTTGAGGAGGTGGCTGTAGACCCAGGGTCACCAACACAGCCGCAGTCACCAGCAGCTGGCAAAACTGCAACAGAGCAGCCTAGCGTTGAGGTGGCTGCAGAACCAGGGTCACCCACAGGGCCACAGTCACCAGCAGCTGGCAAAACTGCAACAGAGCAGCCTAGCGTTGAGGAGGTGGCTGTAGACCCAGGGTCACCAACAGGGCCGCAGTCACCAGCAGCTGGCAAAACTGCAACAGAGCAGCCTAGCGTTGAGGAGGTGGCTGCAGACCCAGGGTCACCCACAGGGCCGCAGTCACCAGCAGCTGCCAAAACTACAACAGAGCAGTCTAGGATTGAGGAGGTTCCCGTGGACCCAGGGTCACCAACAGGGCCGCAGTCACCAGCAGCTGGAAAAACTACAACAGATCAGCCTAGCGTTGAGGAGGTGGCTGTTGACCCAGGGTCACCAACACAGCCGCAGTCACCAGCAGCTGGCAAAACTGCAACAGAGCAGCCTAGCATTGAGGAGGTGCCTGTAGACCCCGGGTCACCAACACAGCCGCAGTCACCAGCAGCTGGAAAAACTACAGCAGAGAAGCCTAGCATTGAGGAGGTTCCCGTGGACCCACATTCACCAACAGGGCCACAGTCACCAGCAGCTGGCAAAACTGCAACAGAGCAGCCTAGCGTTGAGGTGGCTGCAGACCCAGGGTCACCCACAGGGCCGCAGTCACCAGCAGCTGGCAAAACTGCAACAGAGCAGCCTAGCGTTGAGGAGGTGGCTGCAGACCCATGGTCACCCACAGGGCCACAGTCACCAGCAGCTGGCAAAACTGCAACAGAGCAGCCTAGCGTTGAGGAGGTGGCTGTAGACCCAGGGTCACCAACAGGGCCGCAGTCACCAGCAGCTGGCAAAACTGCAACAGAGCAGCCTAGCGTTGAGGAGGTGGCTGCAGACCCAGGGTCACCCACAGGGCCGCAGTCACCAGCAGCTGCCAAAACTACAACAGAGCAGTCTAGGATTGAGGAGGTTCCCGTTGACCCGGGTTCACCAACAGAGCCGCAGTCACCAGCAGCTGGCAAAACTACAACAGAGCAGCCTACGGTTGAGGAGGTGGCTGTAGACCCAGGGTCACCAACGGGACCACAATCACCAGAAACAGATCAGCAACCTAGAAATGAAGGTCAAGAAGGAGATGACCTGCCAGTTGCTGTTATTTCTCCGGCAGTAGAAAGATCGGATATTCCTGTTTCGGTTTCTTGGCTGAATATTGGCTTGGGACCAAAGTCTAAGTGCTTCCCATTTGGGCAGCCCTTGTTACATAGAAAGAGGTTGTCAGAGTGGAAACATGCTCGGTTCTGGCTAGCCTATCTGCCACCAACCCACGTGATGTCAGTAAGGATGGTTTCGCTGCAAGCGTTAGTGATGGGGGGATGAACCTTTGCAGGATATGGCAGGGGAAGCCTTGCCTTGAGCGTTCCCTGCTGAGGCACCCAGTTCCTCCATCCTGGCCGTGCTTGGCCCAGCGGAGGCAGCTGAGGCGGAAGCCTTCCACCGACGCTTCCACCAGCTGCGCCAAGGCTCAAACCTCCCCAAGGCAGCGGAGAGATGTTTTTTGGCAGGAAATCAAGGCCCCAAAGACTAACTGGTTCAGCCACGCACAAATGATTTGCTCTAGAGGCGCCTTGCTACACACACTAGCTATTCCCCATTACCACACGATGGGGCGGTTTCCACCCCTGTTGGATCTGTGAGCGAATAGGGCTTCAAAGAACCAATTAAAAGTCCCAACCTGTTTGATTCACAATTTCGGCTAATTTGGTTTTCTGACAGTGGAACCTGGCAAAAATTATCAGACCTACCGTGTCATCCTGGAATTGTATGATTAACCTGGCTCCTAATTTAGCAGCAGAAGTAAGATGCACCAATAATATTCCATCATCAACGTTTAATTTCAGAAAAGGTGGGGCAACATTCCTCTTCCATGTTCATAGGTCTATTGCACCCACCTTGATTTCATGGCATTCTGAAGTCATTTTGGTCAGAGCTAAACAGGACCCCTTCCGACAGCCAGACCTCGTTCGTCTTGGTTTTCGAGACATATATACCCATAGTTGCTGGGTTATATGCCAACTTATGGGGGTCAAGAACCATGGTTTGTAACTTTAACTGCACCCCCAAGTGGCTCATTTACATCAGACTTGTCCCTTTTCAGAGCGGACTCACCTGCCCTGCAGATGGCCAAAAAGAAAAGCGGAAAAGTCTATCACACTGGCGTCACCGATGCCATTGAGCCCCAACCACAAGTTTCTCACCGCCGGGGAAGGGTGGTGTTGTCGGGTGCTGTCAAGCCCCACACCTTTGTTTTTTGCATTTTTTTGTGTTTGAACCAGCCAACTACCAGGGTCCCACTACCCAAATGGTATTGGCTCGGGTTGTTTCGCAAAGCTTAAGACATGTTGAAAAGCTGAGACGCCAAAGTGCGGGGATGAAGAATGTGGGTGTGTTTGAAAATATGGTGTTCATGTTCATTCCAAAAAAAAACTAGCTACTCATCGCATAGGAAATGCTCCATGTTCATTTTTTTGGTACCCCTTTTTACTGGTTAACCCATCATGTTCCGTAGATTGGCCACAGGCAACCCCCGGGTTGGAGAATCACCGACGGTAATCGGATGGGATCCTTACGGGATACCAAACCAGCCCCTCTATTTTTACCAAAAAGACACTGTTACCATTCCCAAAGAGCCAAAGTCTTCAAGCGAATTATGACTCACATAATCTATTCCGATGATGGTCAGAGGGGTGTAAGGTCCTAAGATCCTAGTTCGGTTGCTTCGTTGGAATGGTTTAGTTTGTGTGTCCGACAATCAGACATATGCAGGTCACCAAATAAATAAGAGTCGAATGCCCATTCTGAAACTTCCCTGTCCAATTTGCCACGCACGGAAGACAATCAAATTTAGCAGGTACAAAAGACTTGGACACAACAATACCCTCGGCTGATATGAATGTGTTGAATGTTTATTGAAACTGGTGATTTTCCCATCGATCCAATCATAAAGCAAAATTCTAAGGTTCAGAGCCATGTTTCATCACCACATCTGCCAAAATCCTGGGTCCATGTGCCCAGGATGGCGGACGAACCCACGAAGTCATGGGTGTGAACACGCACGTGCCTGGGCGATCGATGTGGCGATGTGTCGGCTACGGTACCTTAAATCCACAATTGATCATCATTTTCCCTATGAAATAATATTAAGTAATATTCAATGGCCCTATTTCCAGACAAACCCATGTTTTTCGCTTACTTTTTTGGGCCCTACCACAAAATCTAATGCGTGGTGATGGCTTCGTGAATTCTTTTCCAAAGAGCCGGGTGTTTTTATCCCCATGTTTGTTGCTTCTCATCGACCACATTATTGGGATTTACCACCTAAAATCTTAGGACTATTCGTTCGCAACCAAAAATCGAAATATATCAGCTGAAAATCAGTCTTGGCATTTTCCACCAAAAAACAAAAATATCTAAATCCGGTGGTTAGAAGGAGCCCGGAGCGATAGGTGTCGATATTCTCTGTTAAACTGTTGGGCCGAGCTACCAAGACTTTCCCACCCATGGATGTCCTTTCCCATTTGTTGGTTGATTAATAGTGGGGTTATGTGGGGTTATAACATCCCGTCAAAACCAATAGGCATGATAAGTGGTATACCAAATCGGTCTATTCTTGTTCCCAACCAATGCGATGTATATAATAACGATATTTAACTTAACTATGATTAACTATGATTAACTACATCTCACCAAACTTTACAAAGAACATGCTCAATAATTATATCTGAAACTTTAAAACCATGGCATCATAGGGGGTTAATTCACCATTTCTCCAATCTCCAGGTGATGGCCGTCCAGGAACGGCCCAACAGCACCGGCACGCCCACCGATCCGCGCGAGCGGAGACCGTCCTGGGCCACTGCGGCGAACGGTGGGGATCGCCATCAAACATATGGGGCCATAGGTTAAATGAAGGTTTCCAAAAATGGTACCCCTAAATCATCGATTTTTGCAGGAACCCAAATACCTGTGCTATCCCAAACCAGTACATATGGTTTTCCAAACATGAGGAAATAGGGGTACCCCCAAATCATCTAGTTTAGATTGGGCTTTTTCATTGGAAACCATCCGTTTTGGGGTACCCCTATTTATCGAAACCCCCAAATAGCTCAGAAATAATCACCATGAAATTGCCACTATAGCTAGCAATTGGATATTGTAGTTGGTTAGGTGCACGAAATAGCCATTCTACTATGGTTATTAAACCTAAAGTGGGTTATAACTATGGTAGTCCCATCTAAAAATTGGTGAATTACCTATGGTTTTTAGTCAGTAAATATATCCCAAACTAATAGCCATTAAACAGCCATTATAAGTGGTTAAACAACCGAAATATGGACTCATATGGTAAGTATATCCCCAAATTTTAGACATACTCGAGCCATGAAAGTTATACCCTAGTTGATTGATTATGAAACGGTACTTTAATGGTACTGAAAACCATCAATTATATCAGGTTTTTTAAAGTTTTAGCTACCAAAGATATGGGGATATTGAGAATTATGGTTGATTGGTTAATTTTGGGGGGCTTATATTGCCTAATTGGATTGTGATAACCCATAGTAGGGAAACCGTTTTCAACCAGCGAGTTTCATGAGATGGGATAGTAGTATTTTAAGGGTTGATGATTGATTTATGGGGGGTTCCCTCCAGTAAATCAACAAGACCTTGAAAATAGTCCATTTTTAATCTTCCAACCCTTCTTTGGCAGGGTGTATGTTAATTTGGAGGAGGGTATCCATGAAATTTGGGTTTCATGCATGAAAATTTGGGATACAAATTAAGTTGTTTTCATTGAGGGTCATACTTATACTTATATGTTTAGGGAATTTATCACTACTGGTATTTTCATCCTGATAATTATCCCGAAGTGATGATAACCCCAGTCGTTCTCCCAATAATATCCTAATAGACCATATTTGGTGGTGATTTATGGTGGATATATGGTTGGGTGGAAGCAACAACTGGAGGCGGGGTAGCCGGGGTAAACCACAAATAAAATGGGTACACAGTCATGGGTGGCATATTAAAGTAGGAATAACAACTGGAGGTTTGATTCCTAGCTTGGAAAAACTTGTTCGGTAGATTCATAGTTGAATCAAATGATATAAATGGTGAGAACAAGAGGCTCAAACAATACCTCGTTTGCATCATCAGGGGCTTATGAAATGAATCCTGGAATGCAACCACATGACTAAAAACACAGAATGGGTGTGTTGAATAAAATTAGATGGGTGGGGTTGGACCATTATAGATATATATATATATAACTATATTATTGGGATAGCATGCCTATATATACATATATATATACACTATGGATAGGATAGGATAGGATAGGATAGGATATAATAGGATAGATGGTAGGCAGATAGATTATTACAGATTATAGATTATTATATGTTTTTAATATTATTGTAGATTGTATATTATAGGCTATATATACCAACTATGTTATGGTTGAATCACATTTTTGGTGTGGTCTTTTGCCCCTTCGTCGCAACCGCCACTGTAAAGCCCAGGCACATGACGGACCGGAACTCCAGTTCGATGACCAGGTGGGTCAGCAAAAATAGGAATTTCACCAACAAAAATGTTGCTATATGGGGGTTTCCATAAATGGTGGTACCCCAAAATGGATGGTTTCTAATCGAAAATCCCAATCTAAAATAGATGATTTGGAGGTACCCCTGTTTTAGGAAACCCCCAATATGGTGATGTAATGGAATATCATGAGCTACAATGGACAATAAGGATCTGGATGAATTGTGACGACCTCACTGCAACCTTGCTCTAAATGATTGTAAGTGGATTCCAGGTAGGTGAACTACTTTTATCCAGAAAGATTGAATAAAGAGTGAAATCATGCACGCAAAAAACAATAAAACATGGGATACTGTAAATCAACCACTCAAAATTGTATCAAATTCACCAGTGGAAATGGGATAATTACTGTAAATCAAAAGATACCTCCAGTGATGGCTGTTTGTGGACCTCATTGTTTAAATCCAAGGACATGGTCTTCTGCTGACATGCGGATGCATTCAGAAACTCCGTCTTCAACCCATGTTTAACTGCTATGTCTATCGCCATAGATATTACTGTTTTTCAATCCAGACAACCAGAAATCAAAACTTGTTTGATTCTTGTAGTGAACATTCCCTCCATCACAAATCTGGTTGGTGGTTTGGAACATGAATTTTATGACTTTCCATTCAGTTGGGAAGTTCATCATCACTGACGAACTCCATCATTTTTCAGAGGGGCAGGCTCAACCACCAACCAGAAATGGTTGGAACTAGTAAAACAAGGCTACGGCGCGGTTAGCGACCCGGGGTAATTCATGGATTTTTCATGATGCTTGGTTCACCAAATCATGGTATTGGCAAGGTTTTGTAAAAACGTGATAAAAACGTCAAGTCGTAGTAACACTGGGGCCAACTACCAAAAGTGCGTTTCGTAACGTTCATCGATTTTCAATACGTCTGAAAAGAATCATTGTTTTTTTTGTTGGACAGATTCAGCTACATCTGATCACCAGTCATTCAGCAAAAAAAACTTTTCAAGTCACCCTTGCACATGACGTCAGTTGTGCATGTGACGCAAGTTAACATGAACGTTAACATCCCCACCCCACCCCAACCCAGTGACGTGACGTCAGTTGTGCATGTGACGCAAGTTAACATGAACGTTAACATCCCCACCCCACCCCAACCCAGTGACGTGACGTCAGTTGTGCATGTGACGCAAGTTAACATGAACGTTAACATCCCCACCCCACCTCAACCCAGTGACGTGACGTCAGTTGTGCATGTGACGCAAGTTAACATGAACGTTAACATCCCCACCCTACCCCAACCCAGTGACGTGACGTCAGTTGCGCATGCATCAATTTCAAGAGCAACTTGCATCCAATCAGCAAAAATGACAAAAACGCTGGGGTCGTTAATGGCGCCGTAGGCTAAAACAAACACCTTGGAAAAATCTGGTACCAGGATTCCAGGTGACCGATCTGCAAATTAAGTGACCTGACGTCGCATCACCAAAAACGTCACGTCACGTTGCGTTACATTACATTACTGGTTGGTGGTTTCATTTTTTTTTATTTTCCATAATATATGGGATAATCCTTCCCATTGACTTTCATATTTTTCAAGATGGTTATTGCACCGCCAACCAGATTGCATACGTATACAGCTGGGGTTATTGTGTTTATTTCACTGAGATTATTACTTTGGGACTGCGTACCACTTACTGTGCAAGATTTGTATGAAATCACCGGATATCCACTGTTTGACTGGGATATCCCATAAATGCCATTATATTCCATAACATTCCATTAGTCTATCCTATAGGATCCCTAGATGATTCCTATATGATCGATATAATAAAATATCATGGAATGTAATGAAATACCTATATCATGGAATATAATGATGATCCCAATGGAATATACAATGGAATATGATACCCTGATGCACAGCTGTAAAGGTGGCCATCCACGAGCCGGAGCTTCCCGCCATCACCGTCCACGACACCGACGCTCGCCATGAGCCCGACGTGGCCGACGTGGCCGTTGCCGAGGGGCTCACGGGGAAGCGCGAACGAGAGGAGGACCGAAACCATGGGCGGCGCAATGGGTGGGTGAAGCTACCTTGGGGCGTCACGTAGATCTGGAAAAGCCTATGGCATTATGGTTTTTTGTAGGAAAATGATCTAGAAATGCTGGGTCAACTCCACATCTATGTATGTTTACAGGAGGGTAATATTTGGGTTTTAGTAGCAAAAATGGGGAGAATCGTTGATGTTTGGTTGATGATTATAAGGGGATTATACTATCCAATAGATTCAATAGATCCTGAAGAGTATCATGATGGTATCATGGGATGAACGGCATCCTCAGTTCTGATCCCCAGGTGGATCGTCCCAAAACATCAGCTTGATACATCGGTGTTTTTTGACCCCACTGGCAAAATATCTTCTTTTATATATATATATCACAAGGCATTGAAGTTTTGCTGCTTCTTCTTTTCACATGGCTCAGTGCACCCCCAGCAACTACAATCCCTGGGATGATCCTCCAAGGGTTATCCACAAAAGGACGGCCCTGCCGAGAGCCGAAAAGCACCACAGCCGCAACTTGGCACGTCCCCGCCATGGCTTTGTCAATGGTTGTGCAGTGATACCCCAGATGTCTATGTCTATTTTAATGGGAAAACGTTCATAAACCATTGGATTGTGGGCTACTCTATTCTCAGACAAACCCATATATGGTAAGCCCTGGTAAGCTGAAATGGAGTAGTCATGGACCTGCAAACATCCCGGATAGACCTCTGGGTCAAGAATTCTTTGGCCAGAGATAAGTATAAGCAACAAGAAATACATTTCAACAGCACTTGTGGTAAAACAATGTCAAACATCAAAACCGGAGTTGTAACCACCATAGCTACGGTTTCAAACTTGTTTACGACACCGCAGATTTTGGTCATAGCTAGGTATTTAAGGATCCAATTTTAGGTCACCAGATGACAGGGCCGATTCCCATATGGTTTTAGTTGGCAGAGTAACAATAGGCTGATGATGGCATTCTATGCTATTTTGCCAAAGGTATCCGATACATTAGGATAGGTACTACCCCCAATTATGAAACGTACTGTTTACATATCCGAAAATGGGATGGTTCCTTCCAGCCTAACACGATTTTTGACCAAAGCATTGTGGGTTTTTGGGTTTCGACTTTTGACCCATAGCCATAGCAATTGTTGCTTAGATTACCCTCTGGTAAACAAACATAGCTATTGAAAATGGCCATAGAAATAGTGGATTTACCCATTAAACATTGTGTTTTTCCATAGTTATGTTAGTTTACCAAAGGGTACCTCTTTTTGTCGTGTAAATATGTTTAATCTAAAATACATACCGCGTTTGGAGCGATGAATATGGAACCATGAAGACATGGAGCCATGGATCAAGGGGTTATCAACCCCCCATCAACCCTTATCCGGGGCTCATTGATCAATCTTACAGCCCGATCCGCCTACTTATCCACCAACTTCCCAAGTTGGACCTATCGAAAATCGTTCACAATTCCCTACAGTTCCGATGTTTGAAAAGAAAAAAAACTGTGGTTTTAAAATTTTATCAGATACATCATGCATCAAAAGGTTACAACCATCTACAACCATTTTGTCATGGTTAAATCGCCATGTTTTTGTAAAAAACACCGCTCCCAAGGTCGGCGATTCACCTTCCGCCCATCTCACGTGCTGCCACGGCGCCCGGAAACTTGTGTCCCTTGGCACCCATGAGACCGTGCCGTACGCTGGGTGTTGGTGAAGAGTGAAACCTCCAAGATTTACCCTCTCGTAAACTAACATAGCTATGGAAAATCACCATCTTCAAGAGGTCAATCAACGAACTAAATGGGCTATTTTCAATAGCAAACTGTAACAAATTACCATTGTGTCTGGAAAATAATGAGATCTGGGCAATCCTGAGGATGTTTTTCAAGTATCAAATTTTGGTTTGTTCGAAAATGGAGGATGGGCTCTCAGTGTCTGCAATGATTAGCGATGATCTCCCTGGATCCAACAGCATGGCGAATGGCCCAGTCCCACACCTTGTCCCCACCTATGCACTGTGAGATACCCTCTGGTAAACTAACGTAGCTACGGAAAAACACAATGTTTAATGGGTAAATCCACTATTTCTATGGCCATTTTCAATAGCTACGTTAAATTACCAGAGGGTATCACCATGCACTATCTTCCCGATTTTGACCAATGTCATGGAAAAACGTCCAACGCGTGAAGGTGATGAAAACGAAGATCTGCAGAGTATCCTCGAAAGCAGCAATGTCAAGGTCGACATTTTATGGCACTGCAGGGCGGCTTCAAGGAAATATGGTGGTAGCTTGAGAAAATTGGGTAGCTGCATGTGAACACAACCCACATTGTCATCACTGGGTACAGTATGGGTCAAAAAAAGGTAAACCAGAATTGGAGTCAATCTGCAGTTCCAAGGCCTTAATTACTCTTTTGCCCATGTCCATCGGGTGTGAAAACTAGGTGCATCATCTCCGAAGATGCATTCCATGAAGTACGCTACTGAAAAAGGGCCCAGATATAGCAAGTTACGCTCCCACTTAAGTATGATAATTGATGGGTCAGTCCTCAAACCATGTGTGACGTGTTATTGGCACATTATCGCAAATAGCCAAGCATAGTGAGAATTGATGTGATGACATGTTAATTGTTAGTGCTGGCATCAGTTAGCTATCAGTTGTTATATTACCATCTAACAACTAGTAACGAATTGTAATACAATAGTAACTGACCATGTTATTCCAACCAGTAGTTCCATGATCAATGGTTAACCATAGCCAGTAACATCCATAACTAGTAACATGACTACAAGTTTCGTAACTAATCCCATCTAACATCAAGCAACCCCCATTCTATGGTCTCAAACAGGTGTAATCTCGCACAGTCTCAGCTTTCACCCTTGACACCATGCCCCACTTTAATTGGGGGGGCACTTCAGAAGCTTCGAAGCTTTGCATTCAAGCTGAACCACTGGCCATCCGGCATCAGCTTAGCCCAGTGTTGGGATCACAGGAAAGATCTTCGGCAGCAAGGACAATTAGTTTGGTAACGAACGATGTCCAACTAACCAGTCACATTCATATCTGATAACATCTGGTGAACTAACATAGCTATGGAACATCACCATTTTTAATGGGAAAATCCACTATAAATAGCCATTTTCCATTGCTATGTTAGTTCACCAGAGGGTAACATCTGAGAACTACTAACTACTAGCTGACTCTCCCATCCCGCCCTGCGCGCCTTCGGCCTTCGGGCAGGCCCTGAAAGATCGCCTCAGAAGTGAGATGACTCTGCACGAGCAAACACGGACGCTTGGCAAAAAAAAGGCCACCGCATGCCACGCTGCTTTTTACCACCGGAAAAAACGATGCGGACACTCCTGGATACCATTTCTAGAAAATCTTGGTTGAATGCTAAACTCCTGGATCCCATTTCTTGCTGATTTCTTTGCAAGTTGTGCTTGTCAAATACCCACTTCTTGTGGATTAAGTCTCACCATTGCGAATCCCCATGTTTTTTCATCCCGAATGGTTATCCTCGGGTGAAATAGGCCATTTTGATCCATTTTGTTCGATGATGTCCCTGTCAAAATGGTGGAAACTCCATGGCAAAGTGTTAAATTACCAAAGGCTATCTGGATGATAAGACCTAAATCACAGAACCTACAGGTTTATAGGTGGCTTAGCAATGGTTTATGGTAGATATAACAACTATAGTTAATGGGGATTATAATGGTTTATAAACCAACTTATAACTGGGGGGCCCCATCCTGTATTTAATTAGGTATATGTGTATTGAACTATTAGAGCTGATTGGCTCGGTTATGTGCTGAATAACTGGCTCAGAAGCAAGTACCTGGGGAGATTTCATATATAACTGGATCAATGAACATGTTTATTAAAATCGGCGTAACAAAATTTGGAATCTCATCTTATATGATATTCAAATGCGGCTGCTGGTTCCTTTATTAAACGTGTTATTCATCGCTGGTATTAGATGATTCCAATTAATCTTCCTTTATCAACGGCGGGAACGGCTTCGTTGCAGGAATCACGCCAAAGAGTTGGAGAAGCGTTGCTGGGCGACTGCAAACAGGATGGCTTGGCCCCCAAGTCTACCAGAAATGGCTGGTATAAACCATGAAAATATTAGGCTGATTTAAGTGACATTGCTAAAAACTAACATTAGATCATTGGGTCAAGTGGTATGTGGCTGCATATGTGGTACCACTATCGACAGTGCATGGCCAAACCATTTGGCGACGGTGCTTGCTGCACACTTCGACTTCAATGGGGGAGTTTACCAATTAGAAAGGAGGATTCAAGGAAAATTCAGATCTTCCCAGTTTCACTTCTTTGCCGTGTCAGATGCTTCGCATTTTCCAAAGGTCTATTGTATATGATCGTTGAAAACAGCACCACATTTCTTATATTTTGTCATGCACCCGTCCCCATTCCCACTATCCCACGGTCTTCCGTTTCGCACGCCCCCTTCATGTTGGACATTCCTAGTTTCCAGTTAGTTTCCCTCCCAGCTATACCCATCTTCTACCCACCTTCCCACAGACTATGCAGCTCAGTTGCATCAGTTTCGGCACGCAGCTCCCATCTATATGCATGTGCATTTAGATACATCTCCTCTTCTCATTTCCCCAGGTTTGCAGTTATAACGATTTTTACACACAAGTCCAAAATGTGTAAAAATGTCTATATAATTCTATATATATATATCCCAGCCCTATCTGCCCACCTCCATCCAGGTTTGCAGTTGGCCACCAAGCCCCGATCTTCCCAAAAGCCACGCTTCGGCATCACCTCCACCACGCCCTACGACCGCCGACCGCGAGAGAAGTCCCGAGAGAAGCGCAGCGAGCGCAGCGTTGCAGCTGGGCTGATGGAGATCCTGTCATATTACCCTCTGGTAAACTAACATAGCTATTGAAAATGGCCATTTATAGTGAGTTTTCCCATTAAAAATTGTGATTTTCCATAGTTATGTTAGTTTACCAGAGGGTAATGGAATATGAATAGGATTAATATCCACTAATATCCATTAATAGGATTAATATCCATAGGATTAATATGTAATATTAATGTCAAATATCCATTAATCTATTTGAGGACTGGTAGTTAGAGTCACTTTGATCACATTGCCATTTGTGTGTAACATCCATTCGCATCCCGTTTTAGTTAATATCCATTATATTAATATGAGGCTGGGTCAAAAGCTATGATCAATTTTAGTAAGGTGAACATCCAACTATACCAGCATATACCAGCTATTTTTGGGTGAGATACCAGGGATTTTGACCCATAGCAATATCAAGCCATATCAATCCAGCAAAAGGATCCCGGATATCATTCATGTTAATCTATGTAACATAATAGCATTAATCTATGTAACATCATAGTGCAACCTAGATATGCAACATAGTTAACCATAGTATTATGTCCAGCAACCGTTATAGTGTAAGTTAGCTTAGTATTTGTAATACTATGGTTGGACACGGTTATAATGATACATTTATGATTATCTATATTATCCGCATATAATGCTTTTGAAATACCAGGATATCCAAGATTTATGACTATGTGGGAAAGCCAATAATGAACTTACAATAATATGTAGGAGAATGTGGTAAGTGGATGTCCTGAATAAAAACAGGTTGGTAAAAAGAGTGCAAGCCCGCGAAACACTATCTCCACAACCGGTAAGTGATGATAAATGGTATGCCAAACCAGCCCCTCCTTGTTTCAAAAAACACATCGTTGCTTAAATCGTTGATAGAAGCAGCAAAATATTGGGAATCAGGGGGGATCAATGCAGGAACCCGCTGGTGACTAGTGACTGCTAGTGATTTCTACATCATCCAAGAATAATATGGCTGGATTAAGGATATGGATGGTTTAGGATTGGACCTAGATTTCGCACCGAAGCTCGCTGCAGATCACTAGGGTGAACCAACGGAGGGTTTCCTAAAATGGGGGGTACCCAAAATCATCCAGGTGTTTGCTTATTTTTGCTTATTATCAAGGTTTGGGGTAGCCCCATTTGAGGACGAACTCAGGTATCTACGCACCACGACCACCAGCGGGGTCATCCAAGGCTACCAAGGCTACCCAAGATCCAGACACAACTCGCACAATTCTTCGCGAGGTGCCAGAAATTGATAGACTACGATAGGTTGATTTTTCTATACTTGTGTAAATATATTAATATATATATAATATACACATACAAAAAATATATAGAATTATCTAGACATATATTGCACCCGGCACCCATTGTTGATAGATGTTGATGGTCAGTGTTATAACCTGTACTACAAACATCTGGCATATCCCCATGTTATGTCTGTTAAAGCCCCATTCTTTGCAGGTGATATGCCAATGTTTGCAAGTGTTTGATCGTTCCCAAACTCACCGCCGCCGCCGGGCCTTTAAAAAGACCGAGGTCTTACCCCCTTTGAAACCGCTGAAGTCGGCACAATCCTCGCGTTCCTTGGCAAAATGCCCGAAGTAAATCGAGGAATTTTCCAGCCATGTTTGACCAACCAGAGGGTATGCTGGCTGGTATGGTCTCCTGTTCTTTAACCAAAATTCTGGGTTCATGATGATTAGTGACAGGCATAGTTGAGACACGTAGCTCAAACATCAGCCAGTAGTATGACTGCTCCATCAAATCCCGACACTTCAGTGATGATCTCTGCGCGCACCGTGCCATTGGTTGGAATACTGCTGATATCCTGTTGGTTCAATCCTCATGCATTTTTGCAACGATATCGCCAAGTCTGTCCTGAAAAAATACTCCCATGACTCATTGCTGGCTCAACTTGCCCAGGTTATCCTTTTTGCATCGTTTTGCTGTTGGTTGTTTGGCTTCCTTTGTGCTAGTGCATTCCGCATTGTATTTTTTTGTTAAGTCCCAATGAAACTCATTGGTAAAACCTCAGAACCAACCTACGGTTGCTTGAGATTGCCTCAGGCACCAGCCCTTGTTTTTGCCAGTCGACAAATATGTCCATTCTTGTTGGTTAAGTTCCCCTAATTTTTGTTGGGAAGCTGTCTTATCTAAAAGCCTTGTCACAGCTACCAGACCCAATTGATACCCTTGTTATGTTTCAATCCGTACAATGTGTGTGTGTGTTAAACCCCAGTTTTGCCAGTTATATACCCATTTGATCTGATGTTTCTTGCTGAATCCCCATATGATGGTCATTGAACAGCGGAACATGAGCCTCTGGTAGTTCAATGACTTACCTCGTTAGATAATTTTCGTTAAATTGCTGGTATACATTTCAAGGAAATATCCCCATATTTCCTGATTAAATCATGTACAATCCCCGTGAAATCCGGTCATGTCGCCATGGTTCCCCAAGGTTCCCCGAAGCGCTCCGCCGATGGCGCCTTGCGAAACGTCCATGAGATGTTGCGGCTGGGACTGAAGTTTTCACCGATGGGGAACAAAGCGACGAATCAATGATGGTAATGTGGTACTATAGTGATAATCAATATATCATGGTATACTATAGTGGTAATGTATGGTGGTAAATAGTACCATAGTACATACGAATCACTATATGGAGATGGTAATCGATAATCAATGTATAGTGGTAATGTATAGTGGTACTATATATCTATATTAGAGGTTATTGTGGGAATGAATTGTATAGTGTTACTATACATGTATAATGTTACCAATAAGTGTAGGAATGAATTATAGTGACCTCACGACGTGACGTCACTTGAAGGATGGGAATAAGAGGTATCATAGATCCCCAAATGGCCAAACTGTTCGACTATTTTCAGGTGAGTGAATTACCATAATTCGGATTGAGCGAGTATTCGTGGATTTTTTGGGTGCAGCCAGAGTGTCTGTGTGTGTGTGTCTGTGTGTGTGTTTATACTGTATTGTTTCCATGCACTCATGTATATTCTACACACATGACTATGTGTACCTGCATTTTTTTCTGTCCATCTGGCTCCGGTTTTTCGGGGGGTCTCCGGTCTCAAGATGGAATCAACTCAGGATGGATATTGCCTGCTCACTGAGTACATGAACTTTCCAATATTGGGGTCTTCATACAGGGGTTACCCTCTGGTAATTTGTTACATAGCTATTGAACATGGCCCATTTATAGTTGATTACCTATTAAAGATTGTGATTTTCCATAGCCATGTTAGTTTACCAGAGGGTACATCCCATGGATTTATTCGAAGATCACGTTCCTATACTGTATATGATACCCCATGATACCCCCCGAAAATGGGTGTGTCTGAATTTTTTTTGTCCCGAAACCGATGGTTCATCATGAATATGCCCCTTTTCTTATAGGTCATTTGGGGGCCTTTTCTCCATGGTCAGACACACCCAGATAGATAATCAACCGGAAGTGATTAATCGAATGCTCACTTCACAGAACGCGATTGAGATATAAATGAGTAGAAATGGATGGCACCTATGGTGCGGTTGTTTTGCTTTTCGATGTGGGCTTATCACAATCGCACTAGCATGGATTGGAGTTGATTAGAATAGTTTTAAACTAAAGCGGCGATTTGGTGAATCACTATGATTTGGTTTATATGTTGGCGTACGTATATCTGTGTTTATCTATATATGATATAGTGGTGGTTTTAATGCACATGTCACATATACATACAGTTGGACGGTTTTTCCTGCGTTGGTGAGACGGTGTCACGAAACATCTGACACTGCTCAAAAGAAAATGGGTAAACTGAACTCTGGCAGAAAAAAAATGTTCAAAGTGGCATCATAGATCATTTGAGTATGGTTTGAAACCAGTTGAAACCTATCATCCAGTCATCCAGTCGTTTTTTCACTTTTTCGTTTGGTGGTTTCACAACTCGCTGACAGCGATTTTCGCGACCCCAGGAAGGATGAGAACATGAGCGTTTTGTCTCGTGGTGGACAATCGCGCACTCGTCTTCAAGCTTATGGCCGCCTAACGCGAGCAGGGCTAAGTACCTCGCTGGTTTGATGTGAATCATTGCTGCTTCCTGACATGGAGGTTTCCTAAATGGGGGTACCCGATTCATCCAGATATTAGATTGGGAATTTCCATGAAATAAACCATCCAGCTATTGGGGTAACCCCCATTGAAAGCCCGAAATGATCCCCAAGTCACCATGGTTGTTTCAATACGAAAGTTTGGTCAAGTGGGGATGATTTGGGGTACCCCCATCTTAGGAAAACCCCAGAAACCGTGGCGTTGTCCGAAAACCGTCTGGGATACTTAGCAATACTTAGCTGCTAAGCTATTTATCATAGCACCCCCAATCCCAAATCGGAGAATAGGCTTCTTCTGCAAGTGTTCACCATCAATCCAGCCATTGGAGATGCTTGGCCACCCTGGGAATCATGGCCATGGAAATCGACCATGAAAAAGAGGGATTTTTTCCCAACAAAACCTCCCTATTTAGAGGGGATTTCCCAGCTCCACTCATAGGATTTCTGCATTTCCCCCAATGAAGTGCCGTCAAAGCAGCTGGTGTTCCAGGGAAGCAAACACTATGAAACATGTGACTTGGGGCTGGTGTTTAAGACTCTGAGAATAATAACGCGGTTTTGTTTTATTGATTCAAAGCATGTTCCAAAATGTGATTCAGAGTATCAGTTCAAAACATTCCCACAAAGCAATGCGATTTGATTTGGGACGTTCTTCTAACCCTATTTCAGCCAAAGGGTTGTTTTAAACTGACTGCTGATCACCAAAACATTATACCACTCAGTCTCAATCATATGAGTCGGCAAAATATGTCAAAATCATCACCCCAAAACATATACATGGTTTGATTTTAAATCGATGGTTTAGTTTACACCTTGATTAGTACAAGAACTGGCCATACGAAAAACCCGCCAGGCACCTGGGACGTGCGCTTGGATGAAAAGATCTCACGTTTTCAAGTCCCTTGGATGGCTGACAGACGACTCAAAAAAAAAATCAGCGGGCTTTGAATCGCTAATCTGACCCAAGAAGCAAATTCAGTGTGGCGGAAAAATCGGAAAACACTTCAAATTCGAGTTTTTTGTTGGCACACCACCTTTTGGCTGAAGAAATTCTGAAGTTTCAGAGAGTTGCTGCGACTTAGCGTCAGGATCCACCGATTGAATCATTGGTCGGTTCTTGTAACCCCAATACGTCCCCTAATCCAATGCCCTATGAAACACCCCATTCTCCAAGGTCCCAATATGGCTTTATCCCCTACATCCACCATGGTTTCGAACGGGGATTATGGGGAAGGGATGAGTTGGAATTATCCCACCGGGAAACGAAGCCCACAAACACACCAGTTACAACACGTGATTTGTCGCTTAAGCCCCGGCCACCAGCTCTGCTCAGGACATGCGTGCGTTCTCAGATTCCATGTGGAATTCCTTTCACGATTGGAACACGCAGTATCACTCCGTCGGCTAAGCCGCAGTGACACTGTCTCCAACTGCGAACAGTTCTCAAAGTCTGGCAATTGCCTTGCCGCACCAAACATTCCGATGGATACAGTGGTGATATGTCGTCCTGTCTATCCGACCATCACAAGTGATGTTTGAAGATACACTCTGGTAAACTAACATAGCTGTGGAAAATTACAATTTTTAGTGGGTAAATCAACTATAAATGGCCATTTTCAATAGCAAACTGTTAAATTACCAGAGGGTAGTTGTTGCGGCATTCCAATCTGTGTGTTTCACAGGAAGGTCTCCAGATTCCACCGTATTCCACCGTATTTCACGCGAAAAAACGGGGAAAAAACAGGTGGCACAGTGACAGCTGCTGGTTGCTGCTAAGGTACCACAATGCTAAGGATGTACATGCTGACGCTTCACAAGCCTTGTGAGAGCCGCAAGAAATCCTAGGGAAACCATCTGTACTCACGAAATTACTGGCTTTGTGCCTTTTGTGCCTGGAGGGGGACGGCGGAACTTGCAGTGATGACTAGTGATGTGGCTTTGCCAAAAAAGGAGGATACCCTCTGTTATTTTTTACATAGCTATGGAAAATCCCAATTTTTAATGGGTAAATCCACGGTTTCAATGGCCATTTTCCATAGCTATGTTAAATTACCAGAGGGTAAATTATGGCATAAACCCTCTGAATGATGGTCGGTTGTTGTCAGGTTATCTTAAGTGGTTCAAGGATGCAATGAGCCCGCCCTCGACCTGCTTTGGGATTAATTGACCTTTTCTGACCGCAGATTTCAGACCCATGGGCCAAAAGACCTACCAAAAGACCAAACGACCCATTCAAAATCACCTGTTTAGTTATGTTCATTTGTTTTTCCCCAAAAAGAAACGTCTTGGTCAACATATCTTGTGATACCAATCTCCAGCTTCAACAGCTATCCAGTGGTCTTCTTCCAGGAACTCTGGCTAGCCAGTTCCACCCAACAGAATAGTAGCTAAAAATAGCTCAAAGATGATAAGAGTTGAAAGACCTTGGAATAAACCCGCAGAAAAACCATATTAAAACCATCAAAACCCAGAACAGCAATTTCCGGGAACAGCCCCATCTAACAAGGCTTTTGCCAAATAACAACGTTTGAGACCAACGAATTTCAGCGGTTTTGGCCCCGCTTCCGCCATGGACGAGGCCTTTGAAATGATGGGCTGGTGGTTTATTGGCCAATCGATGGAGGAATTCCTGATGTTTTTATTGGAAAGTCAAGATGCTAAGAATTCTTCAGATATTGTCAGATATTTTCAGAATTCATCGAGACAACAAAAAAAAGAGAGGTTGGATAGTAAAAGCTGTAAAGGATGTAAAGAAGAAAAGCATGGTTTCCCACGAGGTGACTCGTCGCACTGTCAGAGCCAGGTGACTCTGGTTCCTGCTGGTGCGGACACTCCGGATATCCATGTTTTTTGTTGCGGAATGCCAATAAACATCAACAAACTCCTATGATGTATAGAAATGTACACATGGCAGAGATGAACAGGGATTAGATACGATCAGATATGACATATGATCATAATTGATCATATGATCATATGAATATCATATGATATTCGCAATTAGCAGCAATTAGCAGCAACTATTCCTTCTAGGGATGACAAGAAGAATACATGCCGGTACGATGGTTGGCCTGGCCTGGCCGTGTTTGAAGGAAAACTGGCCATGAAAATCATCGAGCCAAAAGCATGTGGAAAGAATATGTCAAGTAGACACAGAATGAGTGAAACATAGTGAAACTATATCTGAAAAATAGCATTTCATTTCAACTTGATGGCTGATTTTTATTGGATACGGAGAAAAAAACGGAGCGTCGATCGCAGGTGTTTTTTGGACTTTCAGTCTAGCGGTCCCCACCATCGAGCCCTACCCTCTGGTTTTTTCTGAGATGGCAGTGCATAATCGGGGGATTGTCCATTGCCCCGTTGGATTATGAAAAACCTGAAGATGCTTCCCTCGAAAGCAACATAGATATGGAAAATTCATGAAAATTCACCATGGACAGATCATTTCCTGGAAAAAACCGCCGTGGATCATATTTTTTTGAGTCCCTTTTTGTAGAATATCCCTATGATATCCCCATTAAGTCCCATTACCCTCCGGTAAACTAATATCACTATGGAAAATCACCATTTTTAATGGGTAAATCACCATTTTTAATGGGTAAATCACCATTTTTAATGGGTAAATCATCAACTATAAATGACCATTTTCACCGGTCATCACGCCAGCTTCGGTTTTTTCATTTCTCCGGCCCAGGTCTTTGCACCGAGGGTCAGCTGAAAGTGTTGCTGGATCTGCAGCCCGATGTACTGCATGTATCTGTGGTGATAACATGTGATAACCTATTTAAAAAACACATCATATAATTATATTACATAACGGCATCCATACATCCATACATAGATACATACATAGATACAATCACATACATAGTTGGGTGTTATCCCACCTCTATCAACTCTTGGTATAACCGTTAGCGTGTTAGCCGTCTTGACCACCAACCATTCGATGAATTTTGTAGCCCATAGCGGAAGTTTTTTGCCTCATAGTGATCCCAGCTATCTATCGCTATCAGATGTGAGTCCCCTACAAGTTTGATGAATATAATTATGTTTACCATTTAAACTTACCTCTCTTTTGGTTTCTCAAAACTGGTAATCAAAAAACCCTGGGTAACCAAAAAATACCAAAAACCTCATGGACAAATCAGAACAACAGTTCTGGGGCTCCCAAGCAATCCAGGCCAAGACCTCGATGGGAAGCTGAAACCATCCCTGCGCCCTGGGTTGATACTCTGCTGGTTGTGAACATGGGGGGTTTAACATGGTTTAACTATCTCAAATGGGAATGTACTGGGGACATTTCTTGGGTATAACTTAGATAACTAGAGTTGTTTGGTGCTTTCAACGATGTTGGAACCAAACCCTACGTTCGCCCCCCAAAGAACACAGACAAGATCATATAGCTCATATACTTGTCTCTAATCTACTTGTCACCTGATGAATGAAAGCACCGGCTTTTAGGGTTTAGGCTTTCAGGCTTTAGGTGAGTCACAGGATCTGCAGGATCTGCAGGATGTTTTATTGTCGGCATCCTGCGATGATGATCCCCAATAACTTATTTGCCAATGGTTTTTTATGTGTTTCAGGTGATTGAAATGATTGAAACCACCAACAAGTTTTTTCTACTCAAGAAATGAAGGTTGATGATATTGAATATTGATGACATTGAGGATGATTTCTGATGGTTCAGCATGATGCCATCTGAATGTGTCAGGGATATTGAAGATATATATCTGTTGGTCCCAAGGGTGCGCTTTCCTGCGGCTTTATATCCATCTTGGGGAGCCATTCGAAATGGTATTCTCTCTGAGAATCAAACACGGCGAGCAAAAATATTCATGATCATCCACTGCTAGATGAGTTTCCAATTCAAAGTTCGGGATTCCCATGCTTGACTACGAGGACGAGAGTTAGCAAGTGGTTGGAAGTAGAACCATGGTTTGTTTCCCTAGTTATATCTGAGATAAACGGTTTATGTGTATATGTATAGATAGAGAGATAGGGATAGGTGTTGTACCCATAGGTGTTGTATAAGTATATATAAGCATGTTGGATAAGTTCAAGAGCCCTGACCACAAAAGATGCCCCAAGCGTTGCAGATTGGTGAATTATCAAAAGCTGCCCAGATCTCACGATACTAATGAATGTGTACATATCTATATGTGTATATATATATATATGTATATATATGTATATATATATACATACACGCTTATTTATATATATATATGTACATATATCACATCACATTACATTACATTACATTACATACAGACATACATGTATACATGTATAATATTATATATACAAATCCATACATACAGCGTATACATGTATGTACATATGTACATGATGCCATGGGATGTGGCCATCAGGTCCGAAAGCGCAGCGTCAGCTGTGTGGGCGATGAGAGTGTGGTCAGGATGCCCCAGGCTTGCGATGCTCAGTGGCGGAGTGGCTTTAGAGACAGCCCACATGGGTTCACCTAGAATCCATGATAATCGGAAACCATTAAATCCATTTAGGATTATCATGGAGAATAATCCATTTAATACATTTTGTTTGTTTAGTTCATTATAATCCGTATAATGTTGAAACAAGAATAAACCATCCCAAAGTTTGACATAAATTGGTGGTATAAAATCATCAAAAAAATGGTGGTTTATGGCATTGTTTTTCAACCACATTGATCCAAAATGGTGATTTCATGAATAGGAAGGGGATGGAACGGATAAATAATGAACTATATAGAAAGATGTGGTTCCAATTCAATTGGGTCTAACGGATATAAAACGGATACTTGGATAAAATTGACATGGGTTTGAGAACCATTCCTGATGTGTATAACTTTTATATAACTAGTGTCATTTGGGTATAGAACCTTTCAGAATGGACATGCTTTTGCATATACTGGCAATCTACATGGACTAGGGCCCAGGGCTTTATTTACCCGACCAAAGTGGGGAGACTTCACCAACGAAGCTGGATAAGATAGGTATGTAACCTGCCAAAACAAAAACTGGTTTCTAAGCAACCAGCATTGAGGAGAGTCAGCAACCAAAATCCTGATTTAATCGACCCAAAATGGAGGTATAAGCCATGCGGGAGATTCACAGTGGGAACTTTTTGGCATGGCATGAAGACCTTGAAATAGGTCTACACTCTGTGAGGTTGACGTCATTTTGTCTATCCTCTGGTAAACTAACGTAACTATGGAAAATCACCATTTCTAATAGCTATGTTAGTTTACCAGAGGGTAATTGTCTCATCGAATCCCACCGAATCTCTGTTTGTTTTGCGGGTCTTGTTCTCACCCCGTTTCTCTCATGGTGGTGAATCAGATGGGTATTGCATGATTCACCAAGTCGTACTCAACGTTGAGGCTGCCGGACATCCCAAAAATCGTCCAGAAAAATCGCTACAATCTCCATGTCTTACTCGAGAAGCCACCATGAAAGCACGGTATTTTCCCTGCAGAAGTTGGGGCTTCCCTGGCATGTTTCCTATGGGATAACCCCAATTTTACCCAAGTTTTGTTGTATGAAACCCAAAATGATCCCAAACGACCCAAAATGACAGGTTTGATGGTTCTCACCATGATTTTTACCACATCAACCATGATGCATCGCCAATGCTGTCTTGACAATCAATCACCCATTGTTGGTGCCGTGTTTCCCGTGTTATGGGTGTATGTATATATAATATATATATATATGCTAATTACCCAAAGTGTAATTTTAGTGGTAAACATTGAGTTCTAAACCGTGCTTTCTTAAAATTGTTCCAACATCTTCAGACACATCGAAAATTGTCCCAGTTGATATCCCAATAGTGAATACATGGTTATAGTATCCCAGTTGATATCCCATAGTAGTGAATATATGGTTATATTACCCTCTGGTAAACTAACATAGCTATTGAAAATGGTCATTTATAGTTGATTTACCCATTGAAAATGGTGATTGTCCATAGTTATGTTAGTTTACCAGAGGGTATCCCATAGTGAGATCTGAAGAACCATCAGCACTGCTTTCCGAATTGCCGCACCAAATTTCCAAGGCGGCTTTACTTCCACAGATGAAGCGTCAGAGCCTTAGATCCTGATGGGAACTCATGGGTTTTTTGGGTGATATATAGGGTGTATATCTATATATGTATATATATGTATGTACATATATAATTTATACGAATTATCTATGTATACGTATATGTGTATACATACAATCTATGTACATATATATATATATATATAACAAGTCAGCCAAGTTTTTTGATGGCGGTTCTAATGGGAGTGTTTTTTGATTTAGCCTCCTGCAACAGTCGCAACCAAGTCGACGGTGGGACATTTCAGCTGAATGAAGAGGATCTGCCCACACAGGTTAGTAGTGGTTTATGGTGGAATAACTTCAATTAAACCATGGTTTAACTATCTTTAACTGCTGTTATTTAAATATGGAACATCTGCATCCCATTCAATCCGAGAATTTCAAGAGTTGCCACAAAATGACTCTTGGGTGCGTCGAAAAAAATCTATGTGAGGGCCGAGGGTGGTGAAATGTGGTGAAGATCAAAGAACTAAGAGAAAAATATTTTAGGGTCTTCCCCAAAAAGGAAAAGTAAATCACCATTAGTGAAGACTCACTGTTCCATATATCTTGGGGGGGTTGCTACACTGTTCCTGAATCTAGCTCATGTCACTCATGTCAGCCTGGGTCACTATTTTCTACTGTTGAAACCATTGGAACATTGGCACTTGAAATCCTCCAAACCATTCGTGGGTCTCCAGTGCATGTTCTGCCCGTGCTGCCCATAAATGCCTTGGATTCATCCAAAATAATCCATCGGAATTTCTGGCTTTTTTCCCTGGGGGAAACTGCAGGGAAACCCAGTATTTGACAACCCCGATCCAGAAAAGGTGAAAGCTCCTCACCATCTAACACCACAGTACACTTCACAAAACACAGGAAGTCCAACAGCGAATGTTCCAATTCCATGAAATCTGCAAGGTTTACGCCCGTTCTATGCTGTTCTTAGCTGCAAAAAATGGAACACTTTTGTTTTTGCTCACCCGTTATTGCTCGTTATACTCCATGGTTGCTTGTGGTGTCCTTCTTTATTGCCGGTGAAAGCGTTTTCGCTGTTTGAATTCCAATGTCTGTTGATCTCCCGCAAAACTATAACTTGTCTTGTTTGAATTCCTACTTTGGGGGGAGGGATTCGATGTTCTATTTGGGGTGGCGAAACCCCCCTTTGTTTTGGCAGAGAAGCCATGATGCCATGGGGGGCACATTGCTCGAGGCATGCGTCTTCGTCCTAGCATCGGGCAATTGCGGCTGCAACGGGAGGCGATGATTCGCGACGGCTGCGACCCTGTTGCTGGATGATTGGTTTGGGGGTTATGACAAACCTACGCCTTACAAGTGGCTGAATTCTATGGTTTATGGTAGATGTAACAAACTAGTTTTCATGGGGTTGATAAACCAACAAACATCACTGAGGGACACCATCCTGTACCCTTTGTGATATCTTTATATAGGGATGATCATAATCCATGAGCTGAAAACGAAAAAGCGAACAAGGGGCTTTTGCACCCTTCTCCTCCATAAATCCGACTTAATGTGGGTAAAACAATCATAAACCATCCCCAAAATCACCATTTTTATAGGTTGTATAAACCATTCCCAAATGGGTGGTTTACTATTGTGTTGCCCACATTAGTTATAAACTACATTCACTGTCTTGGAGGGCCTTCCGAATAGCTGGATGCGCCACATCAAGATGTGGAGAACATGACCCATTTGATGTAGATTGACATGGTGATCTTTGATAGGACGACTCTGAAATTTCCAGAGGGTATGTTGTAATCACTGGGAAGGTCAAAAAGCTGCGAATTGCTTCGCTCACCTTAAGGACGGTAAGTACAAACGATGAGGTTCATGGAATTACTTCAGTGCCCGAATTTCCTAAGCTGTGCGAAAGTGCCTTTGAAATAAACCCCAGCGACATATTCAAAACAAAATCTCTAAGCCTGGCATCTAGTTATATACATCATTCTTGGGATTTGTTACTGGTATATATTGCCAGATGTATCACTGAGATCGTCCGTACAGTGCTGCACTGCACCAGCTGAACATCTGATAACTAAGTTATGAATGGGATGAACCAAATGTAGCCCATCCCCTCTCTTTTATTACCCCTGGGCCCCAAAATGAAGAAATCCCATACTACGTGGGTTCCTTCACCGACCTGGACATGGCCCCTACTTACCCTACTTGAACAAGTCCCCACGGTTCCTGGGGGCACAAAGTAGGGGGTATAGATACCACTCACGGTCTAGATATTTAAAATCCACAAAAAAAAATCCCCTCACCTTCCACCATTCATCCACCATTCATCCGATCTCATCCCAGGCCGAGGACCATTTAGCCCTACCGTCGCAGGCGGCTGAAAATTGGATCACCGGTTCCAGGGATTTGTCCATGGGATGATGATGGGGTGCCCACCCATGTGGCTTCCGCGGGCCGCCATCAACGGAGGAAAAAAAAAACATTGCAGCGATTAGCCATGGTTTAGCCTCTGGTAAACTAACATAGCTATGGAAAATCACCATCTTTAATAGGTAAATCAACTATTTCTATGGCCATTTTCAATAGCTTTGTTAAATTACCAGAGGGTCCCGAAAAAAAACAAAGCTGTGGCTTCCGTCTTCAAAGGCCTGTCCTCATTTTGTCGGGGAATGATGGATCGACCAAGTACAGAAGACATTGATCGACCAGCGATCAGAAATCGATTCAAAAGAACTGGGACCACAATGTTTCTTCATAAATTTATATAGTATGTTGTTATCCAGTATTAGGCCTACCCAATTTTGACCCATACCCATATCACCACAGAAATTGGGAATCTAGTTTGATAGATCCACCATAGATCCTTCATCTTTGACCTATGCTTACCTATCAAGAAGCATCAAAGGTCATTAACCATCAAAGGTCATCAATCATCAAAAATCCAAGATCAACTAAGATCAACCCATGTTTTTCGTGATGAAATCCCAGTCGTCATTTTGTCCTTCAGTCACCCGAGGTGCGCCTATCTGTGGAGCCTGAGTTGCTTCGAGCATTAGTCCTGCACCCAGGAGAGATTCCGATTTCTCGGTGGCTGAGAGGTAATGGAGAAGGAGAAGTAAAGAGTTAACAATTACCCTCCAGTAAATTAACATAGACCCTGGTAGATAGGGGTTGGAAGATGAGTTTCCTCTAAAACATGGTGATATTCAAGGTCTATGTTAATTTACCAGAGGGTAAACTATTAAACCAAATAGTTAAACTTAGTTATAGCTATTGTCATGATTAACTAAACAGTTAGTGGTTACATGTGGTTATTGATGGTTATTGTTGTAATCATGAACAATATTGTTAATCATTCCAGTCGGGTAATTTAATCAATTATCAGTATGAACAATTTCAGATGGTTCCCATTTTCAACATTCGCTTTGCGGCAGTTGATCCTAGTATCATTTTTGGCTCGAGTCTTTGTGGAGAATTGTTCAAGACCTTTCGCAACCATAAATCATTTGCGCAGCTATGGCCAGTGGACAAGCCTCCGGTCTAAGCTTTGCAGGCTGGTTTGGTTCATCACATTGTTGATTGACTAGTGGGTAATCTGCGTTCGTATTGCCCTTGAGAGAGCATCGGTGCTTGTGTTGTTGCACCAACTCCGTTTTTTCCATCCAAGTGTTTGCTGCTTTCTTTGTGGCGGTGATTTTAAATTAAGAAAGCGGTATGTTTTGTCCAGGAGCTTCTGCGCGCGCAGTTTTCGTAACTGACAAATCAGTTTGTGGCGGTGATTTTAAATTAAGAAAGCGGTATGTTTTGTCCAGGAGCTTCTGCGCGCGCAGTTTTCGTAACTGACAAATCAGACGCTTCGTTGCGCCTAGGACGAACTTTTCATCTGTATTGGAACAGGGCGCTGTGGAAAATGCTTGCAATTTATGTCCAGTATACAGCATGCCTGTGTGTTGCGATCTAAGGCGAAACGACCAGGTCCATACGACAGAGCATCCGACGAGCGCCGGAAGTGTCAAGCCGCTTGGGTGATGGTGTTTGCTGCTAGCACTGTTTCTTGGCAAAATTCTGGGAATGTATACAGTCAGCGTGGTAATGACTATATATGGGCTGCGTTTTTTTGGGGGAAGCATGTTTTTTGGACGTGGGCACCATTTTCTTGGACCCGTACAGCCGGTTTTTTTTTGGGCCTGGGGGCGCACAGAAAATGTCGGGGACGTGCCTGTGCGTTTTCTTGACCTGGTGGGGATACTTTGTTGGACCTGCATGTATTTGTGCTGGACCCAGGGATTTTTTTTACGACCGCCAAATTAATTGTTTCTGACCTTGGTTTCTTTTTTTTGGTCCCGTGCACCTGCTTTGTGGACCTTGCTTCCATTCGGGTGGGGGGAGGAAACTCCATTGTTATATGCGCTCACATTGGGCTGGATGTTTTTGGACCTTGGCACCTTTTTTTTGGACCTGCACATGTTTTTTTGGACCTGGCGCAGGGTGGAGGGAATTCAGATATTGAGACAAGATGCATGCAAGAAGATGTTGAGAGAAAGGGGGAACATGTAGATATTGAAGCCAGATGAGTGCAGAAAATTGGTGAGAGAGAGGCAGGTGGGAGGGGGGAAGTTCGACATCGAAACAAGATGAGCGCAAGAAGTTGCTGAGACGAGAAGGGGAAGCCTAGATATTGAACCCAAACGACGGCGCATGCAAGACGCTGTGGAGAGACGAGGGCATGAATGCGGGAGTTGCTGAGAGGCAACATTGAAACCAAATGAAGATGCATGCAAAAAGTTGTTAGGAGGCCGGAGGGGCAGTCTTGCTGAGACCAAGTGAATGAAAGCAGGAAATTGCTGAGAGGCACAAGGGGGGGAAGTTTAGATATTGAAACCAGATGAATGCCCAAGGCCGGGAGAGGTGTGAAAAGTAGAAATTGAGAAGAAGGCAGAATGGGAAGGAGGCACTAAGCCACACAATGTACTGAAATGCTTCCTGCCATGTTGCACTGTTTGAAGAATTGCGATCAAGATGCAGCTTGGAAAATCTATCCAAAGGGGGTATGGTTTGGGAAGGGCCAGGTCCAGCAGGAGGGTGTGCAGGTCCAAAAGAAGGGTAGCCATCTCCAAAAGATTTGTAGTAAGGTCCATGAAAAGTGTCCAGGTCCAAAGGAAATGAAACGAGGTCCAAAAAAAAATGTGTTCCGTTTTTTTGGGACAGTTGGGTTTAGCAGTCAGTCAAATCTGCTTCAGGAAGCCAATGTTGGTAAACTGCGGCGTCTCGTGGGACAACATCTGGATCGAGGGATGGGCTTGGTGGTGGTGTGTCTTTGCAGCATTTTTTCAAGCAGCTGTGAGTTGCGCAAGTAGCTGGCGCATGCACTGCGTGAGTTCTGGACAAGTCTTAGAGCCGTGCTCGGCGGAGGATGTGAAGGTCGGAGAAATCCAGAGGATTCTGGCTGACCAGCTGGAACTTCTGGACAAAGTCGAGCAATCGGCTGCTGTAATGCATGAAGCTGGCAGCGCTGCTGATTGAATGAAACCTGTGTTTATTTTCATTGAGAGATATTGGTTGGAACAAGCAATGGATTTTCGTGGTTTGATTCCAATCCATAGCAAAGATTTACTTTTTATTCGTTCTGCAGTTGATGTACAATATGATGGTGCTGTCGTACGAAGCTATGACTGCATGGGGAACTAAGTGTATTGTTTGTAATGCGAGTAGAAATATCGGGCTGTGCCATTGCGCCTGTGAATTGTAGACATTGCGAGGCAAGCAAGTGGTTTTTCATCTGAATTTCATTCAGCAATGGCCGTATTGGAGACGAAGATTAGATGGATATGGCTGATATACTAATTTTGAAGCTTGCGTTTGCAGTGGGTTAGACAATTTACAACAATGACAGTAGCAGTGAAATACGCAGAAACTTTGATAGTATTATTTTTTGTGGGGCCTTGTGTAAACAGTTTGAATTTAAGCATCGCATTTGTTTTCTTTTTGGTTGCCTCTGCCTTTCCTTTTTACGAGTAGCTGTTGGTCATAATATCTCTTTGATGACAACGAAATTCTCTAGTAATCTTGGGTCACAATCATTACCCAGCATGATAATAGTCTCTGATGGTGATGACAATATCATCATATCAGCAGTATGAACAAGATGATGCTTTTGGTTAACCATTTATGTTTAATGGTGATGATACTGTCTTAGAAAGATAGCAATGAAAGTAAGAACTGGCAATCACTCGTTATAATCATAATCAAAGCGAATACTCTTGATTATGAACCAGCGTTTGGATCATTAGCATTCTAACCATTTAATGGATTTAATGGTGATAATGCTGTAAGCCCTGTGTCAAAAACCATCCGCAATCGGGGTGCATCACAGGGCATACCCCTTCCTGGTTACTCCACATTGGTAAACGTCTTCAGCTCATGACAGTACTTAATTCGGTGGTGATAAGATGTCACCGGTAGCTGTAATAATAGTGACAATAGTTAACAACATCATATCAGCAATATCACCCTATTCTGTGCAAGGCAATTTTGTTGACATATCAACTGGACATATCTTTTTTGCTGAATGAGAATAGCAATCCAAGCGGTTATAATGCCGCTTTGAAAGGGAGGGCTAATTATTTTAGGATTTTTTTTTTGATCAGGTTTAGGAATTATTTTTGGATTCCTGCTTCTCTGCTTTTCCTGCTTTTCCTGCTTCTCTGCTTTCCTGCTTTTCCTGCTTTTCCTGCTTTTCCTGCTTTTCCTGCTTCTCTGCTTTTCTGCTTTTTTGCTTTTCTGCTTCTCCTGCTTCTCTGCTTCTCTGCTTTTCTGCTTTTTTGCTTTTCTGCTTCTCCTGCTTCTCTGCTTCTCTGCTTTTCTGCTTTTTTGCTTTTCTGTTTTTCCTGTTTCTTTGCTTCTCTGCTTTTCCTGCTTTTCCTGCTTCTCTGCTTTTCTGCTTTTCCTGCTTCTTTGCCTTTCTGCTGTTTTGCTTTTGTGCGTTTCCTGTTTCTTTGCTTCTCTGCTTTTTTGCTTCTCTGCTTTTTTTTTTTGCTTTGCCTGCTTTAAATACTTGATTTTCATGTAAGATGCATTTTGCACAGTATTTACATCCCTGAGTATCACATGACCAACCTTCTCTTGAAAACTAGCAACGTAACATGTGAGAAGAGGTGCTTGCATTCTGCTTTGGGGGGAGGCGCTGCGCCCTCCCCCCAATCCCCCCCTCCCGCTTTTTTTATTTAAACTTAAACCCAAGTTACATTAGTTGGTTTTTGCGAACTAACCTTCTCTGGAAAGCTGACAGGTTTACATGTGATAGATAGATAGATAGATAGATAGATAGATAGCTTGGTAGATAGATAGCTAGATAGATAGCTAGATAGATAGCCAGCTAGATAGATAGATAGCTAGAGAGATAGATAGCTAGATACCTCGATAGATAGATGGCTAGATAGATAGCTAGATAGATAGATGGCTAGATAGATAGCTAGATAGATAGATAACCAGCTAGATAGATAGATAGCTAGAGAGATAGATAGCTAGATACCTCGATCGATAGATGGCTAGATAGATAGCTAGATAGATAGATGGCTAGATAGATAGCTAGATAGATAGATAGATAGCTAGCTAGATAGATAAAGAGGTAGCTAGATAGATAGCTAGATAGATAGATAGATAGATAGATAGCTAAATAGATAGGTAGATAGTTAGCTAGATAGATAGATAGCTAGATAGATAGCTCGATAGCTAGATAGCTGGATAGACAGCTGGATGGCTAGATAGATAGATAGCTAGATAGATAGAAAGCTAGATAGATAGCTAGATAGATAGTTAGCTAGATAGCTCGATAGCTAGATAGCTGGATAGACAGCTGGATGGCTAGATAGATAGATAGCTAGATAGATAGAAAGCTAGATAGCTAGATAGCTAGATAGATAGTTAGCTAGATAGCTAGATAGGTAGATAGATAGCTAGCAAGATAGCTAGCTAGATAGGTAGATAGATAGCTAGATAGATAGATAGCTTGCTAGATAGATAGCTAGCTTGCTAGATAGATAGCTAGCTAGATAGCTAGATAGCTAGCTAGCTGGATAGATAGCTAGCGCCCTCCCTCAATCCCCCCCAACCGCTTTTTATCTAATCCCAAGCTTCCGCATCTGTAAATATTTGGGTGAACATGCTCACATGTAGAACATCCCATGCAAAATGGAAGGTGAACATGCCAAAATGTGGCAAATACCATACAAAATGGAAGGTGAACATGCCCACATGTAGTAAATCCCATGCAAAATGGAAGGTGAACATGCCAAAATGTGGCAAATACCACACAAAATGGAAGGTGAACATGCCCATATGTAGTAAATCCCATGCAAAATAAAAGGTGAACATGCCCAAATGTGGCAAATACCATGCAAAATGACAAATTCAAGTTCCAAACCGTTGCAAACACTAGGCAAATGGTACCAGCCAAGAAATCCAAAAAAAAATCCCAAACCTGCTCAAAAAAAAATCCTAAAACTATTTCACGCCCCTTTGAAAGTGGTAATGATGGTAACAGTAACCGTATATTGGCACAATCATGGTCATAATAATCATGACAGCCTGAAAGATAAGCACAATATCAATAATGTCACTTGCAATGAGGGTCTCGTGACCGACCAATTCGCGTCACACGGACCGAGTATCCATTGCTGCCGTCCAACACATGCATCGTGTACCGAGCTCAGGGCGAATCATGGCCGGCTGTGCTCGCCGATCTGGCTTGTCCACCACGCATGAGTCCTGAGGCTCATTGGCTCGCCAATTATGTCATTCTCAGTCGCGCTACGACGTTGGAAGGTATCCTCCTGCTCCGAAACGCCGACAAAGACCAACTTGAGCGCGGACCTCCTGCCTACTTGGTCGCTGAGATCGACCGCTTGCTGCAATTGGAGAAGATGTGCGCCTGATGATGATGATCATGATGATGATGATGATGATGACGATGATGATGCTGATGATGATGATGGTGATGGTGATGGTGATAACAACAACGGTGCTTTTCATGAAAATCACAACTGTTACTGTTACAAGAATGACAGATGCAAATGACGATCAGGACGATTGCGGTAGGAAAAGTAGCCCCGGTACATCATCATCACCACCACCACCACCACCATCATCATCATCATCATCCCCATCCTCATCATCATTACTATCATCATCATCATCATCAACATCATTATCATCTTCAGCGTCCTCGCCATCATCACAATCATCGTCGTCATCATCACCATGGTCATGGTCGCCATCATCATCACCACCACCACCGCCACCATCATCATCATCATCATCCCCGTCCTCATCATCATTACTATCATCATCACTATCATCATCATCATCATCATCATCATCATCATCATCATCTTCGGCGTCCTCGTCATCGTCATCATCATCATCACCATCATCATCATCATCATCATCATCATCCGTGTCGTCATCATCACCATGGTCATGGTCGCCATCATCATCACCACCACCACCATCATCATCATCAGCAACATTGCCATGATCAACATCATCATAATCATCATTATCATCATCATCATCATTTTCTTCATGATGTGCAAGTTATTCAGAGGCAATCCCGATGGGATTCCAAGTTTCAATAGGCCGTCAATGTCCTTATATATTGCGACTGTTTGCAACTGGTTCCAGCTGAGATGAAAATAAGGTTCCTAACGGCACATGGTTCGCAGTGCTCCAAACTGAAGATCCCAAAACACAGTATCAAGAGTTGATGGTTGGAACAGTTTGAACCATTTGAAATACCCCACTGCTGATTGGTTGTGAAACAATGGGTCATTAACCTACATCGGGATCGCGACTAATCCTTTTTGTACAAGTGCCCATCATCCATGGGATGGGATGGGCGTATTTTTCATGGCTCAAATACTCTGTAAAATGCAGAAGAAACTGTTTAAACATCCTTCTCGTCTACTCTATTTGCGTTTGGGAACAGGCCAGTTGGCTCATACACCCCAAAACAACCAAATCCATCTGCAGTTTCTTCTAAGCCTTGCCAGAAAAAGATGGACCATGGTATACCCATGGTCGTGCTAAAATGTTCGGGAAACACTTGGACCTGATTATGTGGTTGTAGGTCCCCCAGATGCATAGTTGTTCGTTCATTTTCATTCCAAACATTTTTGCAGGATCCCATTTTTGGTGTGAGAACCACCTTGGCTGAGGTATCCATTGAATGCGCGATGGACAAAGGCACAGCCGGCACAGCCGGCACACAACACATTTGAGATGCCCATCCCAGTGGCCCCCCAGAATGACCCCAGTTTCATCAGGAAAATGATAATGAACCAATAGATGGGATATATGGAATGGGGTACCCTCGGTTTGATGAAATGGTCAAACGTTGGATGAGAATTATACCCACATTGGGAACGCCCGTTTCATTTTTGGTTGAAAACCACAATGATTTCCGTCTGCGAAAAAATCCTTCAAGGTTGTCGCCCCATTAGTTTCTAAACAGCGTGGTGGTGTCAAATATGTATTTTTCAACCCTAGTTGGAGATGATCCCGAATGACTAGTATTTTCCCGGGGGTTTAGTCCCACCAATCAGTAAACCTTTTTCTTGAGGTTTCCATGTTTGGCTTCAGCAAATTTTACTGGATTTTTCCGTCCTTTGGCCAGATGCGGTACAATTCGACATCTCCTTCCCACCACAATATCCGCCTCGACCTTAGGATCCTTTGGGTCTCCTTAGGGCGATTTGACTAGCAATGAGGATGTGTAATGATCGTTTCGCACGCGTACCAATCACAATCCTGGATACCAGTAGGACTTGTTTTGATAGATGAATGATTCAATTTTCATTCCGTTTTCTGACCGTTTTTAGGGAGGAATGTGTCATATCCGAGAGAAAAGTTCCTTGGATTTAGGGACATCCGGGTGAGTTTTGCAAAGTGATCTAATTCCCAATCATTGGTATCTGACCGGCGCCAAATGGGGATCGAGCTGGCAGTGACCGATAGCATTTGGACCAAGGCATCGAGCACCACAGATAGTACAGGCGAGGCCCATCCGGTCGTCAACATTGACCCAGTCAGGATCGGGTTTTATGATCTCCCAATATCTCCCAGAATTTCAAAACTTGGAAGAAAATACCCGAGTTGTGGATTTGGTCGGAAAGTTTTGGGTGCAAAACCCTGAGTCATGTGGTCACGATGGTCGGCCAGGTTTCACCCGCCCAAGAAGTGGCGGCATGGAGGTGGGCTGTGTCTACAGCAGAAAGTGTCAGAAAATAAGGGTGATAAACGTCGCAACCATGAAAAAATCAATGAAAAGTACCCCCAGAAGCTGGATATAGGACCTGACTCTTGACAGTGGACACGCCATCTGAATTGTGGTCAAGTGAGGTTATTTGAGATGAATAATGAAACTTGAGGTCAATGAGACCTCTTTATGGTGCTGTGTGTCCTATTCTGTTACAAATTGTCCATATTCAGCCACAGCAACTGCAGAAAAAGTTCACCACACAGCTGAACCCTGGTAATTAAGTGATCCCGCCCTAGTGTAGTACCTGGTTTCAAGCATGTCTCAAGTGTCGAAAAAATATTTTTGCGATATATACAAAGTATACTGTATGTATAGATATACATACATACATATATATATATAGAGAGAGATATATATATATATGTATATTATATATAATATATAATATAGATATATATGTATCCACCCCCCTAATTTGGCAGTAGATCAACTGAAGGCCTCGCCAGGTACGAGGGACAGCTGGTTCTGTTACCACGACTCGCAGAACATGGCTGGAGTTCCGCCATGGGTTTCTCGGTTTCCGGGGCCAAAGAAAAGGACGAAACATTGAGATTCGACTACTAAAAATGGGGGTTTGATATTGGATGTTTCATGGTTTATGAGATTGTTGATCAGCAGATTTTCCACCCAAAGCCCGGAAAATGTCGGAGGGTGCAATTAAAAAACAGATATGCAGAATTCACAATGAGCTTTCAATATCACCTATTTAGCGGTATTTCTTGATCTGTGCATGCCGATGATATCCAAATTCAGGGCCAGTTGATCATTCGAAGCGATTCCATGGTCTGCTTCTTTTGGGATGATTCCAAGCCGTGAGTAGAATCCGCAACGAAGTTAAACTCATCGGCGTATTTGAACAATACATGATAAAGCTGAATGAGAGCATACACCGAATATATATATATATATATGTGGTGGCTTGGAACATGTTTTATTTTTCTATATATTGGGAATGTCAGAACCCCAACTGACTCATATTTTTCAGAGGGGCAGGTATACCACCAACCACTATATATATTTTGCTTTTTTAATTTAATTATATACATATAACATAACCCAACTATGCCCCCCGGATCTCCCCGGAGCACGGAAAAACCTAGGTTTAGCCGACATTCTTCGAGACTTGCTCGAAGCGTTTCCAGGAGAATTCTATGATCGTTTTTGGTTATTTAATGCTGATTTAATGGGATTCAGCGACCAAACAATGGTGATTTGATGGTGATTTACCCTCTGGTAAACATACAAAAAACTATGGATTTAATGGGAGTGAATAGGATTTCTACGAGATAATTCGTATATATTGGTACATTAATGGAATTTAGTGGTTTAATAATATCTAATAGCTATGGGTTTTTTAATTATCATAGTCTCATAATATCTCATGATTATATTTCATAGAAATTCCCATAGTTATGAAATGATGGATGCAATTACTAAGCAATGGGAATTTGTGAATGGTATAAGAATTGTATTCAATCATGTTTCTATGAGGGATATTGTAGGATTTCTATGAGATAGTTGGTATATTAATGGAATTTCATGGCTCAATCACCAAACACTATGGGAATACTATTCCCTGGCACTATAAATGCTGATTGAATGGGATTCAACGACCAAAAAATTGTGATTTGATGGTGATTTACCCTCTGGTAAACTAACATAACTATGGAAAATCACATTTTTTATGGATAATTCCACTATAAATCACCATTTTCAATAGCTAACTGTTAGTCATTACCAGAGGGTACCCTCTGGTTTGATATAGCGAAAATTGCCCTTGAGAAAAGATCCCAACATGGGAATGTACCATCTGGTGATGACTAACATAGCCATGAAAAATCCCAACCATAAATGGAGGTTTCGTTCGCTGGGAAAATCATTTATTTCTATAGACCATCTATACCATGGCTATGTTAGTCATAACCAGAAGGTAATGGGAAATGTAAGATATGCGATAGACAGGGACACTAATATTGATATGCGATATGAGTAAGAAATGTAATGGGAAATATTCATATTGTTATTAGATAGTGATTATTAGATAGTGACATTCATGGGAATGTAATGGGATATAAGTGACAGATTCTGATAGATAATAGTAGTGATCTGGTTGGTGGTTTGGAACATGTTTTCCATTTAGTTGGGAATTTCATAATCCCAACTGACTTTCATATTGTTCAGAAGAGGTAGGTATACCACCAACCAGTATTGTTTAATCATAGTTTGCTTGTATCATATTACTCCACTCAAGTCGCCTTCAATTATAATGTGTAGATCCATCCAACTGTAGGTATATCCATTGTAAATCATAGTTCATCATTGGCCTGGTTATTTCAACTACCTTACCTATCAAACATCTTGAAAAATCAGCAAACATCATCAATCATCGAAAATCATCAAACAACATATTTAAAATATATTTAAAAATAAATGAAAATAACATTTAAAAAAATAGAAAAACAAAAAATAACGATATAATCCCTGTTTTTGACTCGTTAAATCCATCATCTGCTCTTGGCCAGGACTGTCCGCGCGTGGGAGCCCTTGCGAGAAGGCGGGTGAAGCGTGTATTCCAATGGTGGGAAAAGTTGCTGCCAACAACTACCATTGGGGAATTGGTAAACAGAGCACCCATAAGAATGGTGATAAAAATGCTGATGACTTGGGCCCCAGGTGAAAATTCATGTGAATTGTTGGGTTTCCTACTGGTAGTTGGGCCATGTTGATATGCCCATGATGGAAATCCTTACGGTGTTTGAATCCCTATGAAAATGGACCCATCTCGCAAGAACTGGCAATTCCCCCGCTAGATTCGATGTTTCCATACGAAAAACTGTCATTTCGTTTGGGGATTTCCCATGGCATTGCCATGTTTGATGAAGGCTACCTTTTTTTCCCAAGGATGCCAATGAACATCTTTGCCAGGGGATGACCACAGCCCAAAAACACCATCGTTTCACCATGGCACATTTTAGAGATTAGAATAGAAGCTGAAAAATTTGAGGAAATTTCTTGAGGTTTTTGTAAACTGACATCAAATATGATTTCGTCTAAGAAGAATGTCCCAAAAAATATTGCCGTTTTTCGAAAAGCTAAAAATGTGTTTCTCAGCAAAATCGAAACTCGGGGGTGGCCTATTCTCAGTCGAACATGGGAAATGTTCATTCGGAAAAGGATTTGATCAACCATCAAAATGGTGAGGTTACTTGTGGGTGCAGTTGGCGTTATGGAACAAACATGGCAAGAACCCACAAAAATTGGTATATAACAAACTACGGTTTTTTGCTAACCACTTACAACCGGAACTGTACCCAAAATTTGGCTGATTGGTTTTATACGTAGCAAAGGCTTATGCGAAAAAAAATACTATATTGGGACTATCATAATCCAAACCCCTATAATATCCTAGATATAGAAGAAAACTATATGGATTACAATCGAAACATTACATCCCACATATCTCACATTACTATCATAATCCATGGGAATCCCTGTGGAATTCCAAGGGCGCCAACAGGCCACCGTCTCTTCCAATCGCTTCCTGGCCGTGCCGATCCTTAATGGCACGCCTCAAATGGAAGAAGATGTGGAGATGTCATGAAGGCACCGAGAGTTCGTCTACGGATGTCATGGGGCTACCCCAAGTTATCCAAGTGAGTGTTCATTCTCAATGGGAACACTTGAGGTACCCGGGTACCCACAAAAATTAGGGAACCTTGAGTTTGGTGTTTCCAAATAAGTCGCTGTGTGTCAATCAAGCAGCGACATTGGACATCCAGGACCAGATATGGGACGTTCAAATTTGGTCTGGGGGATGGTGACGCAAAAGTTTTGCCCGGCTTTGATTCACATCAGTCGTTCTTCAGATACGTGGCAAGTACGGTGTGTTTTGCTTGAAACCTGGTAGCTGGGAAGCCCCCTCGCTCACAACCAAGTCGTTGTCGCCAACGATCAGCCGGAGGAAACGAAAAAAACGTATGGTTTCTGTTGTGGTTCAAAACGCAAGACCAGTTGGGTTTCACAGTCATTTTTGAACCGTCCAATTCAGCCCAAGTTTGACCCGAACCCTTGAGACTTCCTTAGTGGAGCTCCTGGAAAATTTTCTCACTGGCAGTCAGATGATGTCTCTATTTGTGTAGCAAAGTTGGGTACAAGATTGAGCGTATTACGATCGAAAAGACAACGTTCAAAATATGATGATGAGGCCTAAGGGTTTTTCTCGCAACTTTTTTTTTGATGTAGCCATGGAAAATCACCACGTTCAATACGAATCATCGAGAATGATGCCATTTTCCATAGCTTCTGTTGGCATTTTCAAGGAGCCAACCACGGAGGAATTGTGCCCGCAGGTGTGGTCGTGAACACCACCATGACCAAAGCGCCCCACCGGGAGAAGTCTTCGAAAAAATCTCTGCAGGGGATCGTGGCTAGACATACTCCTCGGTAGAACACCCAAAAAAAAAACTGTCTGAAATCTGAGATTGTTTTTCAAACTCAAAAATGTGGCAGGTGAGACACGGAGAATCCCAGGAATTGCGAAGTGACTGGAGGATTGGCATGACGCTCCAAGTAGCCATAGCACTTCCCATTTCATCCTTGATTCTGGCTATGTGACATTTAGTGGATGAAAATATATGGAGGTTTCCTAAAATGGGGGTACCCCCAAATCATCTATTTTACAGTACATAGTAGGTTTTTCAGTATAAACCATCCAGCTATTGGGGTAGCCCATTGTAGGAAACCACCATATGAAAATGATTGTCTCAAACAGTTCCAGCTCAAAAGATATGTCTTTCTCGAGGACTGTGCCACAGTAATTCCAGGATCTTGACCAGTAAATCACCCATCACGAAGGCTATCAATCCATCGCGGATTTCTATATCCACAATGCTCGGGAAGGACAATACATTCCCATGCAATTTGACCATGGCACATATGAACAGCGGATTGATCTAAGTGAAATCTTAGAAGAAACCCCCAGCATGTGATGGGAAAACACTGCCGGTTTCACCTGTCGGATCAATCCCTTAAATCAATCCATGTGGATCAATCATCTCGGATGGTTCCCAGCCAGCTGTGTTGCAGCTTGCCCTTTTGGCTCGACTCTAAAGTCACACGGTGAACGCCACAGAACCAAAAACATCTGGGGATTGATATTTTGCTGTTGTTAATTATGAATAATAAGGACATTAAGCATGGAAAATGATGATATATAATATAAACCATGAAAATTGCGTGAAAACACTTGGGTGCCATTCGCCATGCAAACTTTGTATATTTATAAAATGCCCATGTCCACTGATAACATATATAGGCACACGTATGGGCATATGAATCATTAAAAGATGGTTTTCATTCTTCCTCTTGTCCCGGTTTCATAGCAACGATATGAAATAGATGTGAAACGGGTGCCATCAATTAGATCCGAAAAATGGATTGGATTACGGTTCCATTGTTCAATTATGTCTACCACTCCAAATCTCTTCATGCTTACTGGTGATAACCCCCAAAAGAAGGATTATTCATGATATTTCATACACCCAGATAAAATTCCTATGAAATCCTCAAAAATGGTGAATTTTCTGCAGGGACCGTGTCGGGGAACCCATGAGCTGCCCTTGCGCCCTCATGGTGAGACAAGCCAATCCGCAACGAAGGTGGACACACGGGAGTGCCTTGATTTGGTGGATATCAATGGGGATGTGTATATAGTAATTCGTACCTATCATATATACATTTCAATGTATGAATATATAGCTGGATGGATGGATGGATGGATAGATAGATAGATAGAAAGACAGCTAACTCGATAGGTAGACATGGAGAAAGATATTTATATGTACACATGCATGCATAACAAGTATATGTGTGTATATGGGATCCGGTCAAAAATCCCTAGTAAGGAAATTTAAATGAAGTTGCGAAATTCATTGACGACAATAGGTTTTTAGTATTCGTTATGTAGCGGGCCCCCACCTAAACACTGCATTTCTGCACCTAGGCGCTAGATTTGCGCTAGCATCGCGCTTGCATTATTTGGTTTTAGTATTCCTAGGACGTAGTTGTTTTGTATATTTGGCTTGGCATTGATTGTGGATTTTGCATGGTATTGAGGTGATGTGATAGTATGTTGTTTGCCAACAATATCCAGATTGCTTTGTGTTGATGCTAACTGTGGGGTCGTTGATTGTTTGTAGGTGTTTTGCGCATTCAGCTGCTTTGAATGGAATGAATTTCATACGGTCAGTTTTGTACGAAATTGCTTGGGGTGCAAGGTGCTTCAATCACGTTCTGAGTCTTGAAAAGTTCAGTCATTGCATTTTTTCTAGGATCCCCAGTCCTTGTCACAGATATTTCTGAAAGTTGTGCATGTATTTGCGCTAGCGTGGCGCTAGCTTCGCGCTAGTAAAGCGCTAGCGAACATGTGCCAAGACCATCCCTGGCCCATTTCTTCAGGCTCAAAACATGAGCGGGGTTGACGTCAAATGCCTCGCGCTAGCAACGTTCTGAACGAAATGAAACCCTTCTTCTCCTCCCTTTGATTTTCTGTAGTTCAGAAGATATAGCAAGATGCATGATGCATAATTACAATTATGTAGCGGGCCCCCACCTATCTACGAATTTTGCACACTTCTGGGAAAAGACATTTCGACCAGCCACCATATATATATATACGTATCTATACGGCTGCCGCCCAGGGCCACCAGCCAATCCAAGATATGTTTCAATACACCGACGCATTCATATCTATACAACATATACATTCTACATCTTACATTTAGAGTTACATAAATCTATTTTGCAAGTACAAATACATTTGCATTTCACATCATTTCACATGTTTCATTTTCTAATAATCAGCACATGCCACTCATCATCCCACCACACGACAGGTTGCTGATCAACCATGGATCCAGAGGTGGGCCGATTACCCTCCAGTAATTCAACGGGGGGAAAATCCCGTAGCTGGAGGTTTATAGCCAGACTTTCACCGCAGGGAAATTCTCAATTGCCATGTTTGATTACCAAAGGGTACATTGAAAAATCTCCTTTTGATTTAGGCCGATGTTTTTTGGAAGACACACAGTCATGAAAATTCGTACTGCACATATTCCCCATGAGCAAATCCCTTTGTTGAATTTGGAGCACATTTGACTGAAGTGCCCATCGTCACGAACAAGTCATACGCCCCCCTAAATTTGGTTTCATGGAAACCACACTAAACACGGCCATATCCAGAAGATCACCTTCCAGAGCGCATCAGATTGTAGTTTCTATCAGCGTTGGAATTGTTTTGTTTGTGTATGTCCGATTATATCCCCATATACAATACGTATTTCACAGCATAGTTGGTTGTAAATCTCATATGTGATGATTAATCATTTATATCCCACGAAAAATCCCCATTGTATCTCGTTACGTCTCGTTGATAGTTAAACCATGATATATCCCATGACATGTTCCATCCCATGACATGTTCCATGTTACATGGAAGGCTGTGTGGTTTCTATTGATCATTGATCGTAGTAAATATCCACATTATGGTTGGTTCTAGATGTACCATGAGTTGGCTATAAATATCCCATGAGTTTGGTTATAGCCATACCCAAAGGTTAGTTCGATGATATTTACTAAGCATAGTTCCAGGTGTCCAATTTTTCTATCTATGACTTGGGTGTTTTTTTCACCATCAATTCGCATGAAAGTCCCACGAAAACTCATGAAATCCCCCATCAAATCCCATTGAATCCCCTATAAAAAGTACCAAAAAAAGCCCATGTTCCCTGTGATTTCACCAAAGTTGCCGCGCCTGCCTGAGTTGTTGGCGAAGCTTTCTTTGCGCCTGAGGAAGGTGGAAGGCGAATCCGCCCAGGTGCCGTTTGGCATGGCGATGTCAGGGTGTTCGGCAAAAATGGTGATATGATGTGACTGTATTTCAAGAGCAAAAATCAGGGATTCAACATGATTTCTATGGAATAAGCCTAGGTTTGGTATCAATTTACCATCTATAGATCCAGTTGTATCCATTTGTATCCATGTTTTCACAGTTGATATGTTCGATCCTTGAGCGATACCCAAGAACATCATAGGTTTGACCCATCATCCCAGTGATTATCCCATGACTTCACCTGCGAATGCTCATAGGATCCAAGTTGATGGGAGAACAGCAGTGGATTCCCAAAAGTTGGTACTTTGATGGGAGAACAGCATCCAATTGACTCTACTTGATCCTTCCGGCAGTTGATCATTGGGTTATAATGGGATCCCAGGACTTCTATCCATTTCACCGGTACCTGTCCATCTACTTTTCGATGAAGCGCTGAAGTATGGATGTTCAATACTGGATAAGCCAAAGAAATCATCAAAAGTCGAGACAAAACTGCTACCCTCTGGTAATTTGTAACATGGCAACGGAAAATCCACCATTTCGTCCCATTTAGTTTGATGATTTTCCCAGGATTTTCCCAGCGAACGAAACCTCCATTTTGATCAGGGATTTCCCAGCTTGCCACAGATGCCGCAACCCATGTCTTCAACGTCATCTGCGGCTGATATTCACAAGGCCACAATGATGCTTCCATATAAGGATAGATATCTTGGGCGTTTCACCAACCATAGTGGGTGTTTAATGGGATATAGTGGGATAATTTTCTGTAGCCAACAGAAAATCGGAATAGAAACCAACAAAATGGGATATTAGCCAGCACTAGTGCAATGAACACAAACAAGAAACAGTGTGGCAACATCCATTGTTTTGGAGTATGCGATATTAACAAACAATATTGTAGCTAACTACGTGTAGTGACCCTTAGTCTTTGAAGTTACATCATAACCTTCATGCGAAAGGAAGACGTATGTGTGGTTTGTAATTTACCACATCTTTGTTTGATCCGTTCAGATCCAACATTAGATCTGCCTGAAGCCTTCTGATTGTTGACTGATGGCTATTCTCAACAGCAATGAACTGGTTCTGGTTGATATTAAATCACATGAGCAATAGCCGATACCGATATGAACCCTTGAGCTCGGAGCCTCCAGACGCCGGGCAAGTTGAACGCGTGCGTGTCTCAGAACAGAGAAGAAGTCAGATGACCGTGATGTTTTCGGACATCGCTCATTTTTCGATGGATTTGGTAAGATTTGTTGAGTAATTAATCTTTATAGTACTTGCCAAATTGGATTCCTGAAATTGCCAGGATGGTCTCCATACCAATTACTTTAGCAATCCATGGATGGTCTTTTTGCCATTGCTATGGAGGAAAGTCCCAAAGGTCGGGTGCCAGTGATGTTTAAATTGATGCCACCGAGGTCACGCTTCTCCCGGCAATCCTCCGTTGGGTGTCCCCAGGGTTTGGTCGACAGGTCGACAGATGTCGACATCCTCGAAAAAAATCTGCGATGTCCATGGTGGAATGGATTCTTTGCCCGGTTTCTGTTTGGAAAATGTTGAGCGAAAATGAATATAGAAATGGGATATCCCCAACAAGGATCCTTTTTGCCGGTGTTTTTTTTTCAACATGTTGAAACGACCAGGTTTCTGCCAAGCCATCCAAGCCGCCCCAAGGAGGAAACTCTGGAGAGCACAGCCAACAGTCTGCATCTCAGCCACTCCATCAAGGTCAACCAGCAGATTTAAGGTACAAACTTTGCGCTTAGTGGTTCAACCACTCACCAGGTGTATCATTGCTTGTGGTTTCATAATCAAGTAGGTCAGGATACCAATTGGGGCGAAACAATAATGTGCAGTTCTACATCACTTCCAGCTTAAACTATCATATCCTGGTACATAACTGATATCCCCATAGTTAGGGATACCTAACTACTTCGAAGAACTAGTTATCCCATCTTTTTAAGTCGGTCATATCCCCAGGTTTCCCCATAGCCTAGATCTCATGAGATCTCCAGGTCCACGTTTCAGTACCCGTCGAAATCGCGTGCGTGCCACTGGGCACAATGGCGGGGTTCGGCGGCTAATCATGTTGCCCAAAATCGTTGCCCAAAATCCATTGGCATGGCATTTTTAAGGGGTCTCCCTTTTTCCGACACTGTCCCATTGAAGTGGGCTCCGACCTGAAAAAAAGTGTTCTACACACTCAAAGTATTCAAACATGGCTAGGAGATCCCCATGGTTTAGAGAAAATCATCTAAAGATAAAAATGGAAAATTGGAACCAGAACCTGATAGCAAAAGGCAAGAAATGAACCAAGGTTCCGGACTGGGTCGTCGAGGCGGGGAGCTGGTCTGGATATGGGGATGGGTCGTTTGTGACCTATGAAGTGACCATACTGGGAGAATAAACATCCAGCTATACCAGACTTATGACTTAGGGTACCGTTTGGGTCCTAAGGTTTTGACTCATCGCCATATCATTGGTATTGTGGTAGTTTCCCAATTCCTACCCTTTTGTGATGGTTCATAGCCCATGCCTGGTGATATTGGAGATCGATTATTGTTACCACAGTATGAGGATTTCCTGCGGGGTTACCCCCAAATCATTTCAATAGGATTATCCATTATAAACCGTCCACTTTAGGGATCCCCCATTTATATTTATTTATGGAAAACCCCAATATATGTACAAATAAATAAATAAAAAAATAAATATATATATATATGTATAATCCCCCTGACTTGTTCAATTGACATCTTATAAGACCTCTTATCGCAACACCAGAGTTGCTTACCAATGGGCATCGCTGATTTCACTTCTTTTAAGCCACTAGTCTCTGGAAATCTTCTCTGACAAGGGGATACCATCGTTAAACAACAAAAAAGATCATCAACTTTAAAATTTCGGCTAGTATCCCGTGATATATCCTCAATTATGGCTAACAGCCCCATTCTGGCGAAAACCCATTTTTGGCTAAATCCAAATGTTGTCTGATTCTTATTCATCCCAAATGAATGGCTTTTGAATAACTCTTGGATCACCACATCCCATCATATCCCCACTTCCAACTCTGCACAGGGCAATGGAAGCAGTACACCGAATGTCATGACGCCACGCTTCAGGCACAGTACTACGGTACTGGAGCTATGAACGCAGTTTTTTTGAAAAAGGTTGCGGAGTTTCGCCAAGGAAAATCAGAAATTAACCAGCATGAGATAAGGATTCGCCAAGGCAAATTTGGGATTCACCATTTAAAAAAATGAGGGACCATCACCTTGGGTATCAAAAAAGGAGATACATGTCTGGAGGTATATGCTTGCCCTACGATGTTGACAAGTTCCAGAACCATTTGGTTGAATACAGGTCAGCATGGAATAGTTGACTAATAGTTGACCAATGTACATGGTCCTCTATGCTTTGTCTGTTCGGATGGGTCTTCAAAACTGGGAACTGCATCCAAGACGGTTTGCTCACACAGATGCCTTAATGCCTGGAGAATTCAGCAATTTCAAGATGGTTGAAATCAGTTGTCATCTCTTTTTGTATGTAGATTTGTATGCATGTATGTCTATAGATGTAAATATCAATCTTGAGATGGGTATGGGTCAAAATTAGGTACCTCAATAATTGGATGGTTAATACTAAACTAGACTAACATCTGTAGTCCCCTAGGTCTTCCATTTTGACCCACATCCAGATAGACATAGACATAGCTACAGACTATATAGGTATGTGTACATAATCATTAATAATTATATGTATGTGTAAGAGTATATATATATATGTACTGTGTAGATATATATATATATATACATATATATATATACATATATATATACATAGATATACATATATGGATATTCCTTTCAACCACCCTAGCATTTCTGCGGATAGCCACTCGCCAGGTCAACGGCTTCATGGCCAGGTGGGGTGCAATTAATTGGGGAGTTCTGTCATCAAATCATGTCTTACCATTTCTGCAATCAGTGGTCTATTTACCATGGAAAATGGCCCATTTATAGATGGTTTACCTAATTAAACATGGTGCTTTTCCATGGCTATGTTAAATAACCAGATGGTAATACATAATTGATGTTTGATGGTAATATCATAATTGTATTGAAGAATGGTACTTAGTCAGTTATTTTCATGGTATATTGGAAAGGTCCATTCATCGTTGAGAATGGTATTTCATGGCATTATCGGGAAACAATGAGAATACTAATACCTGCAATACTAGAAATTGTGATTTCATGGGATTTTAACACTATAAATGTTGATTTGATGGTGATTTACCCTCTGGTTATTTACAGTTTGCTATGGAAGCCATGGCCCATAGAAATAGATGATAAAAAAAGGATGCTTTTCCATAGGTTCAATGACCAGGGAGCAGCAAACATGGTGGCTTCAACAAAATTCTGGAATTACCCATGAAAGCTAGGTGATTTACAACTGCTTATGAAACATGAGGATTGTCGTTTACCGCATCAAAGTACCAGATAGGTATTGCAGATGTGAATTTCGGGGCTAAGCCTGGAAATTCATCCTGTGTCAATGTATGGCTTTGTTTCATTCTCAGCGGAAGCATGTGGAAGTCACCTGATCCCATCACCTTTATAATCACATCATTGGTGACTAGTTCCCTTTGTGTCAATGGCGATCATCTTACCATTGGAATAAAGCTAGACCATGGCTGGAGAGATAGGCGCCGATTTACTCGATAGGAAGAGTGTGGAAAATGCGAAAACAAAAACCACAAAGCACAATTCTTCACACTAGAAACCAGCTTATCAGATGTTCTTTCTAGGGTCTATATTGAGGGGAAGCTCAAAAACAAGGTTGTTTCATTTTGGCCCTGACCAAGGTTGGATACCTATTGTGGATTGTTCTGTTCTTTTTGTTGGGTTACCCCTTGATTTAATCATACCCGTAGTTTGTTATGAAGTTCATATGAAGTGACCAATCCTGGGAGAAACCTCAGCCCGATCCCATTGGATGACGGTAAAGGAGGACACTCGGGGCTCCGGGCGAACATTTTGGATGTGCATCCCGCTGGACAATAACAGATGTATCACAGCTGGTTACCCCATGTAGCCAAGAAGATCCAAGAAGTTATGCATGGGAGGTAGATTTCATGAATTGCAACTGTCCTATTGACGTGCTTGTAATTCAGGAAGTGTCCAAATTCCCATTGCAACCCATATACATAGATTGCCTCTTGTAACAAATTCCAATTTGGTCCCCTTTGGAATGTATATCCCATTTATTTGGGTTTCGGCCCGAGTGAGTTGAAAATGACCCTAGGGTTCCATCTCAGTCACCGGCTGCTTAATATGGAGGACTGTTCCTTTTGGCCCCGGGAATTCCTGGAAAACCTCACCAAAAAATCATGGTCGGGACTCAAGGTGCGCGAGTTTCGGGTAGCAAAGCCTGCTGGCTAATACTTCAAGAAAATCGCTGATGCCTCCGGCAAGTTGCGGAAGATGTTCTATGGGTCACTGCCTTTTGTCACTTCGCGATGCTGGATGGACCAGGGAAACTCACAGAACGTCCCAGTGGAAACAAGCTCCTTTCACATCGGTAGGCATTCTCCTGAAAGATTTAAAAGATTTAGGCTTTGTGGAGAGTGGTCCATGGCTGTGGCTTATCCCCAAAAAGTTCCGGGACTTGTTTCGTGGTGACGATTCCAATTTGGATCTTTCGACCACTTCCACCCTTGCTGGTGATGTCGACCTGGCGTCGGAAGGAATCCCTAGGGAGATATGTGTCCCTGAGTGAAATGGCTACTTGGAATCATCTCATATGCGAATGCCCCAAGTACCACTCTTATCAAATCTGATTTTCTGCATCTATAGAGGGTTGCTATCCATTCTATCCCCGGATGATGGTGAAAACTACGATGCCTTTCTTTGCACATCCGTAAAACCCCTTGAGAACAGAATTCAGAAAATGGTTACCCATCAATACCCCCATACATTCCCATTATATCCATGATGCCATTATAACATGATGGACTGGTTTCTTGAATCCCAAGGTTCGATGATGAAATGCTCATGTTTGATGGACTATGGTTACTGTATCTTCTTCATACATTCCCATATGTTTGGATGACTGAAACTAGTGAAAATCCCAAAAAAAAATACAAGTAGCTGTGTAAAATATAGTGGGTAAATTTTACACCAGTTTTGATGATCACTATAATATACACTATATTTTATGATGGTAAAATATGGTGATTGAAACCAGTGAAACTAGTGGATGACCATCTTCCAGGTGCTGCATCTTCATCTTCAGGGCCCAAGAATGGCACCCAGCCATCGACGCAAGTCACCCCTGAGGCGCGGGTTGTGTTGGGGGATGTAGCATATAGAGTCATGGTTACATATGGATGTACAGCTATAGTTATACACAACCAATATATACATATATATATGTACATATATATATATATACATATGATAGTTGTGGGTCTCATTTTTCGGGATTATATCCCAACTGGCAGAAGTTTTCATGGTTATAATATCCGTTTCAGAAATAAGGACAAGCGTTGCGTAGGAGAAAAAACAACCTCCTCAGTTGCACCCCCAAGTACCCGCATGTTGATTAGCATATTTGAAGTATCGCTGCAAAAGATCGACCCATGCGCAGTGCGCAGGCAGAGGAAGAAGCCGAAACGGAAAGGGAGCCAAGGGCGAAAACAGAGCTGATATGCCTGTGTCCGAAAATGAGGTATAATCCAAAAATTGCCATTTGTTTGTAGGGAAAACCATTAGGAACAGTTTTAAAGCAGACAAACCCACAACCCCCAAGCAGGAGTCATGGCATCACGACCCAAACCAAGGTCTTGGAGCATCAGCTTTGGCAGATGCAAAAGGTGCAAAGTTGGGTGATCGGAATCCCATATGAAATCCACCATTGGGTGAAACCCGTGGAATGTTGGGCTCGCCTATTTTGGGATACGAAATGATCCAAAATGGCTGATGGCTGGGAATCATCCCACGTGCCATCCTCCAAAAATGACCCTCTGGACCATTGCTAATCTGATGTTGTAGGCCTAAAGAAGTTTTCTTTCAACCAAAGTAGATTCAGGAGGATGTCCCTCCATTTCCTGGTCAATTTCCCGCTTAGGTGTGCATTTGAGGAATCGTAAGTTAGTATCAATTAGCAACCGTGATATAAACTATCACCATAACCCCATTTTTCTGGGTTGTCCACACATATCACTTCTTGCTCACTTACTACCATGATAAACCAGACATCAGAAACCATCCCAGTAACCATTGAAACGGGGTTAAAATCAACATCATCCCAAAAAGTTATGGGTTATACCCATGAAATCACGAAACCCAGTTGGGAATGGTGTATGGAATTGGGTTTGCCTCATTAACCGAAGTATTGTAGTGATTCCTATCCATTGATATCCATCACCCAGAAATCTTTGAATTGGTTGAAGGAAAATTACGGTGAACACAACCGTGATTTGTGATGTTCTCTTTCACAAATCCATCAAATAATCTCCATCCATCAAATAAGATCAAGCAAAACCATCAAACCACTGATCACCATTCACCATTGATCACCATTAATCAACCCTAGCCACAGCCCGCCAGCCATCGCCAGGAAAGGGATTCGGCCATGGCGCAGGTCCTCAAAGCCCAGGTCGCCGGATCATCAAAGTATGGGGATGTCCCAAAATGGGGGTACCCCCAATAGCTGGTTGGTTGATTTCATGGAAAATCCCAATCTAAAATGGATGATTGAAGGGTACCCCGATGACTTAGGAAACCTCCATATGGGGATATTTTTTGTGATATAACTGAGAAATGATGGGTTTTTTGATGAGTTCAGGGGATATCACCATGAAAATATGGGGTTCGAGCAGCAAAATATGGTGATGATCATTGATAAATGAGATGAACTGATGTTGGTTGATGATAAGTTTGGGGATTATACTAGCCAACATATTTGGGATGGTTATCATAATCCATCATGGGAATCCCTATTAGCAAAGCCGTGCAAAGGGACAAGAAATCCGCCGGAGAGTCGGGCAATCCAAGCCTAAGCCACTTGAGTGGTTATTAAAAATTGGGTGCTGGCCATTTTATATGGATTTTCAGCTGGAAATAGTGGGTTAAAGAACTGATCATCGGTTTAAACATATGGATTCAGAGCCAAATGTTCTTGAAAGTTTAAACCAGCAAACATGTGGGGCCTGTGGGGATGCAATTAATGAAGAATGGTGAGTTGATGATCAAAAAGGGGGTTATACTACCCTTTCTATACTTGGGATTTTTGGAATCGAACTAAGAAGAGGTTGGCAATGATCCCATGTGGCCATGGACCCCATGTGGAAAGTCACCTCTCTCGGAAATGCCATGGTAAAATCTGAGTCTAAAAGAGTCTAAAATTTGAGCCTACCATATTGTCTATCTAAAACTTTTGGTGGCTTATCAGGCTTATCATATTCAATGTGTTTATTTAAGCATCCCACGTCCCCATTGGCAGTACATCAGTTACATTCCCATGATTATCCCATCCTTGGAGGCTTCTGCTGACCACTGGAGGGAACACCTCACCACAGAGGCACGGGAAGTTCGACTCGTGGCGCAAGGGCCCCCAGTTATGTTAGGGATGCAATCGGATGCAACAAACAAAAATTGGGGATGGTTTTCTGAGATAAGCCAATCATAATGATATTGTTTCTTGGCTCATGGTACCCCATCTAACTAATTTTGATCGACCACAAATCGATCCAAGATTTTTTGGCCATGTGGATGGGATATTTGGGAATCCAAATGACTTGGGAGATAGCCCAGCGAAGACCCTAACATGTTTGGAGATCCTTGGATTGTCCAATTGATCCCATCAGTTCATCAGATCGCGGAGAAGTTGGAGAAGTACCAGCTGAGAAAAGTTGTTTCTTCCCAAATCATGGGTTCAACTCATGTCGGGGTCGGCCACAGCTCGTTTCCGTAGAGAAAGTGTCTAGGGATGGTGAAGTCCACAGTTGATTGTCGTTGACGGCTCGACCATGTTCATCCAGATGTTCATGTAAATTCCCATCCAAAGTGTCCAAAGCCAGAAAAATCTGGAAATATTTGGAACTTCTCAATTGACCACTACTTTCGCAGTACTTTGCTGACCTTTTCGGGTCCAACTTCATGGCCTTCGCCCTGCAGGCGGCGAACCTGAAAGACACCTGGGAGGACTTGCGACAGAAGCAGGAAGCCTCGGAACGACAGGTGGGGAATCTCCGGGGTCTGAAAAAATGCCAACATGTTTCCCATTGGTGGTTATGGTGGTTAGATCTGGTTAGTTCTTGGGGATTTTGTGGATTCTTGAGAAAATTGGCTTTCGGAGATTGAGGATAACAGATATTGAGATCATCCCAGAGGAAATATGATGATGGGACGTTCAGTTAGTCGCGTAAGTGGTGGGAGGAATGTTATAAACTAACAGAAGTAGTGACTATGTAAGGAACCTAAATGCTTATTTACTCAACATTAGTGGATTGTGGGCCGTTGCACCTGCAAATTTGGTTTGAACTACCAACCATAACGGGGATATCCATAGTATTGGTTGGTGCTGGTAAAGAACTGGGTCGGTTCCATTGCCACCAGCCAACAATGGCAAAATGGATTTATAGCCAGTAAAAGTGCCGCAAAATTCATGCGAGAATGGGAGATCCAAAGTTTGCCACATTGTTTCCTGCTCCCAGTCTACAAATTTCAGTGATTTGGGGAAAGCCAGCCTCAGAGCGCTTAAATGTCCGAGCGGATACCGCTTCAGAGGCAGCAGAAAAATGGTAGAACTCCTTCAGTCATTTCCCAGCCATGGATGATTTCCAAACTATCCCCACAATGTGGGGCCCCCAAACGATAGCTAAGTTGGTTTATAACTCCAATAACTATGGTTTATTGTACTTATAACTATAGTATTCATGGGGTTTATAAACCAACTTATAACTGGGGGGCCCCACATTGCAGCCAGCGGCTGTTTTGATGCCAGGCCAATCGCCTCCGTTGTGCAGGAGGCGCCACGGAGGATGCTGATGACAACTCCAGCCAGGCGCCGAAAGTAAACTTTGGGATGCCTAAAAAAAGGGGCGGAGAATGGAAGGAGATGATATCCATATAGTGTACCTTTCCATATACTGGGAAAATGATGTTAAATGATAGTTTGAATGGGTCTTCCGGTCTTCCACTGAAATTCAGGCAGCATGTTTTTTGGACTTAATCAGATCCCAATGGGAAGGTAGAATGACATTCTGACCTGGCGGGATTTTAAGCACGCACAATTCGGGATATGCCACCAGATATGCAGAGTTAATTTAGTCAACCTAAACAAATAAGGAAGCATAACCAACAATGGAGCAAGATCATGGAAATGTACCATATATCATGGAAATACATATTAGTCCATATTATTCCTATATATCTATGTATTATACGTATGCGTATAAATCTGTGTGTGTACATATTTCCTACGACTGGCTGATACTGTTGGATCCCAGCGGCTTCACACGTGACATATACCTAGATCTTTGAAGAAATAGCGAATATGTGTGTAATTATATACACACACATAGGGGAGAGGCTTGAGGTTCCCCGGAGCACGGGGGGGATGTTAACGTTCATTGCAATGCATCATCAGAAAATGTTGTTTCGTTAATCTTCGTTGTTGCATACAGATGGGGGGTGGCGGGATGTTAACGTACATTGCATTGCGTCATCAGAAGATGTTGTTACGTTGAAGATGTTGTTGCGGTGAAGATGGTGCTACGTTGATGATGATGTTGTTTCAAATGCTTTCAAAACGGCTTTGTGGATGTGAAGAGAAAGAAGCCTCATGTGCATTTCGCCCATGGTTCTCCAGTGGATTATGACATGGTTATGTCAATCAAAAGAAACCTGAAATTCCAAAAAAACACAATTCCTATGGACCTACAAAAATAACATAAAATGAAGAATTTAGAAAAGAAATTTTTTAAAAAAATGAAAACATTCAAACAGCGGACAACATATACCAGATATGTTGTCCGCATATTGAACTGATTCCTTGTGTTCTTAAGTGAAGGGAAGAACACAAAACACTGCAAAACCCAGTGAAAATGACATTTTTCAAAGTTGAAAACAATGAACTTGAATTGCCTTCCAGTGAACCTCAAGCCTCTGTGTGTGTGTGATTGAGTATATAAATATTCTTTAGACATGACAAAAAGTGCACGGGGATTGCCAGTGCGGCCTTTACACGGCCCTGGCTTGGTCTGTGTAGGGGATCCCAACGACAATGTGTGGGAGCACATGAGATATTCCAAGGCGCACCTCTGGCCATTCCAGATTTTCATGAAGCATCTCCCAGTCATCACCATAAATAGATGATGTAAACCATTCCCAAATGGGTGATGTTTTTGTTTTCCCACATCAGTTAGTTTTTTTTGACTTTGGATAGATTGATACACCCTCAGATGTTTCATGATGTTTCTATGTGTTCATATCTTCCAAAGAGTTTACCAGATTGCGGAAGATGTTGATGATCCCAACTTTACTGACCGTCCCCAGAAGCTTCCTGCTGTCCAGTTGGAGCAGCTTCATCACCACATTCGACAACTTGGTGTTGGACACCCAGCCGGCCACCAGCGGAACCTGAGGGGATTTCCTGTGGTTATGGAGGTCCCTCCAAGGGTGTTGGAACGTATGAGAATTGGAGGTTTTGACCACCAAAATAGGATTCATGGATTTTACTGGATCAATGGCTGCAACATGGGATCTACCCTTCAAATATCCCCTGTGGACGGTCGGCGAGCAAAATGGCCGACCTGGATGACTGGCTCCTACCACCTGCAATGGGTTCTTTATCAGGCGCAAACTCAAAGACCGTGGTGGGCCAGCCACCACCTCCTTAAGTGGGACAGTTTTCTACCATGCTTCAGCTACTATGTTAATCCCAAGAATGGTGAACAAAGTAGCACAAATTGGGTTCCAATGGCCATACCTCCCCATGTTTGCTGCTTGATATTCCCCATGATTACCAATTATTCTCAACCCTTGATGTTTGATCATTTCTTGATCCATGTGGAAAAATGTCGTTAATCTTTGGAGGGCAATAAAAATGGATGGAAGCAAAATCCATACTGTAATCCACAACCCAAATCGACTCAGTTTAGAACTCTCAATGGATTGGTTTTCGGAGAAACTATGGATTTTCCTATGAAACATGGGGTTGTAAATTGTCCAACCATGTTCAATGGGAAAATGCCATGGTTTCCTGCATCTTTTCCCATCACTCGGCGCCAGATGCAGCTTTTCGACCTGGGTCAGGAGAAGTCAGCCTTGTCGGTCCGGGGTCATGGGAATTTCCCACGGTTTGGTGAAGGGTTACCCTCTGGTAATTTAACATAGCTATTGAAAATGGCGAGTTATAGTGGATTTTCCCATTAAAAATGGTGATTTCCCATAGTTATGTTAGTTTACCAGAGGCTAATTTAACAGTTTGTTATAGAAAATGGCCCAGTTATAGATGATTTACCTATTAAAATGGTGATTTTCAATAGCTATGTTAGTCTACCAGAGGGTAATGAGGCTACTACCAAGGGTCACTTCGCGACCGGTGAGAACAGACACGCCATATTTATATGTTTAGATCGACTGGAAGGTCTTGGCGAGTTTGGAATGAAGAATCTGCCATGTTCGGATGTACATACAGTGTTACAGCCATGTAATCAACCAGAGGAGCCCGCCATTGTACGAATTGCTGGCCGGTCACCCCAAAAAAATGCTGGGTGGTATCACAATTTGCTGTTTGTTAAATCAGTTAAATCCCATATCTTGTTGGTTGTCGCCAATTTGTGTTCATAAAAATCCCAGTCAATTCCTGTCTCTTGCTGTTTAAACTCCCACTGATGGGCGACGTCAGAGAACTCAGGTCCAATCAATGGCACTGGCAGCTGAGTTGGAAAGACAGGACAATCAAGTGAAGATTTCTGGGTACCCTCTGGTAATCAAGCATGGGAATGGACAATCTAATTGTTAGCCATGGAAGGGGAAGTGTATCGTCAATCACTGAGAACAGGCCAAACACGTGAAATCACGTGAAACTCCAAGCAGGTCCAGCTGAAAACTGAATGAAAATCAGCCAGCATATAACATCATATATCCCAAAAAAGGCAACTGATGAAAGTGCTGCACATGGCCATTTGGCATGGTCAACGAATATTCATGCAAGAGCTGAGTAGCTCTGGCAATTCTGGCACTTGAAATCGTTCGGTGCTTAGTTTGGTCGAGATCAGCAACAGTGTAATGTATGCCAAAGGTGCGGATGTTTCATCATTACATTGGCACCACGTTGTTGTTGGTTAAGTTCCCCTTTTTTATCAGCTAAACCCCACTGCTTAACTGTTTATATTTACATTGTTTATATTTACATTGTTTATTTTTGCAATTGATTTGGGGCACATTTCACCACCCCTGCATGGCTTCATATTTTCCAGACACTGCCAGGAGGAGGAGTGTCGCCAGTTGGTGGTTGACTGTGAGGCGCTGATCGTGTGAGAAACCACTCTGATAATTCGTGTATGAGATGGTTAGTAAACCCAAACAGTTTACTAAGTGAATCTGGTTGGTGGTTTGGAACATGGCTTTTATTTTTCCATATTTTTCCCATATATTTTGGGAATTTCATCATCCCAGCTGACAAACACATATTTTTCAGAGGGGTAGGGCCCAACCACCAACCAGTAATTGTCCAACTCGCTGCCGCCAGGGGAGCCAAACGGCGCAAGAACGGCTCCAAAGTGAGTTGGAAGAAGTGGAGGTTTCTCCAGGGAGAGATTGGGGAATGGTTGATCGCATCCAGAAACTGGATATATGTATACATATATATATACATTACATATATATATATACATATATATATATATATATGTATGCATATATACATATAGTTATACACCCATCAAAAATGGGATTTAACCATCACGTTGGTGAATTAATCGAAATAAATATCATGGGGGTTCCACAAAAATTGATTTAACCATCAAAAAATGAGATATCTAGGCAACCATTGTTTGGAGAAAATTAGGTAGAATGGGATGTATCGTGATAATTCCACATGTTCCCATGAACAGGGGATGCAGGGAAATCTGTTGAATAAACCAATAAATCATGTGATTTTGGCATACCCTCTTTTCAAACAAACACACTTTAAGGAATTACCCTCTTGTCATGTCGACATGGAAATGGAAAATCGCCTTGTTTTAAAAAGGCAAATCGTCTGTAAATGGAGGATTGTCCATTGCGATGGTAGGTTACCTACCAGATTAAGGAGCCAGGAGGGCGACTTCAAGCGTTTGATATTCTATTATTCTAATCATATGCAAAGACCATGTCATGTTATTTTCCCGTTTTTCGGATGGGTTGCAACAACGGGTAATGATTCAATGCAGCCGTTGACAACGGGGTGAGTCCTAAGCCGATCATCCCAGTTTTGTCACTGCTAAACCCAATGCCAAACAGAATCGTCCTCCAGTTGGGGATCAACATTACCGATGCTTATAAACTCCTATGAAACATGTCCATTCGCAACAACTGACATGCCTAATCGATACCGCTAAGGGGCGCACGTTTGCCCCAAAACTGACGGAATTCGATCACTGCAATCTCTCTGTTGTATTGATATTGCCTGCGCTTGGTTGCACCCTTGCGCTCACCTGAAGCGGTGCCAGAATCATGTTTTGAGCCATGTCTCAAGCATATTCTTTGTCATTTCCAGTGTTTCAAGCCTTACACTAAAACCCTCAACAAACCGTTTAAAAAAAACGTGAAAGAACCCAAATTAACCAAACCAACCGCTAAATCAACCATAATCAACCAACGAAACGTTTGGAAAGCGTTTTTAGGGGGATGAACATCCATACTAGCCAGCTATTCGTAGGTTCACGAGGGGATTCCATGGCGGGCTGGGGAGCAGTGGTCATTTGTCCCAAAAGTGTCTTGTTGGATATTTGGTGCAGATATTTAAAGAGTATGACGGCCCCATCCCTGATCAAGAGCCCTCTTTGAAGAGCTATTTATAGTGGATCATGATAAAACGATACTAAGATCAATTATTATCTACCATAAATAGCATGATTATCCACTACAAATAAGTTTTCATACCAAACAAAGCAACTCTGCTATTTCAAAGTCCGCTCCCGATCAGGTGGGTGGCCTTTCGGTCGTTCACGCCATGACAAGTCCTGCAGGCAGTCTGAGACGTGGTTGGCTGATGGGATGTGGGTAAATTATAGCGACCTCACTGGAATGATGGTAGGGGTATCCCAAAATGGTTACGATGTGAATTTAATTTGAATTGTCCCTGCAATGGTTGCGATTGAAAGCTTTGTATGATTATTGACAGATGTTTGCCATGTTAATTATCGGGATATTTTGGACATAGCTAAATTATTGGCATGTGTTGGGCATGCTATTGTGAGGATTATTGGGATGATAATCCCTTCCCCAGGACTCAAAACGAACCACCAAACCATGGGCTTCGCCAGGGTACGATTGGGGTGATGATATGAAGGTGTAAGGGATGATTGGGATGTTTTGGGATACCAAATTCTCGGGACGTTCTGAAATGCTAGGGTAGAACAAACAGATGGGGCTGTAAGAAGTTTCCTTTCAATGGGAGATTCACTCACAGTCTCTTGGAATAAAAAATACCTGGGAGAGTATACCAGTATAACCAGAAGGGTTATTTCAGCCTTTTACGTCAGAAATGTCCTTTAAAAGAGATGGATTTTGACTAGTCAAAACATCGGTGCACCTCTGCAGCTGAAAATCGCCCTGGCACATGGAACCCCCATTGTTGCTATAGATCATGCATTTCTTCATTTCAATCCGATCAAAAATCATGTTCATCAACTCGTCAAAATTGGTTTTTTTTGTGTCTTTGAGTACTAATCCCATCTAATCTCCCTTTATTGATCTTTATTATAAGTGCATTAACATGCATTGATATATCATATATCCATAGCCATATATAGAAAATGGATGGGATATGAAGATATCCATATTACTCAATAATCCCATGTATATATATATATCCATATCATAGACATTAATATATCATCTATCCAAAGAGATCACCCATCGCCGCCGTTATCGAAAATTCCCGGCAGGCGGAGCGAGCTCGTCCAGGCGCGAAAATGGAGGGACTCAATGATAGTTTCACCTGGAAATACATGTTGTTTATAGTATCATATATATATATACGTATATACACATTAAAAAAAAAACATGTGTTTTCTCTCGAAAGCTGATATCACAGAAATGTCGTCAAGTTTACCCAAGATTGAGATTTGGGGCATGGATTTGAATGGTGAATACACCCTTTTTTGATTTCACCAGTGATATGGGGGTCGTCACCTCTGAGCCCAGAAGAACTGGCGAAGAATGTGGATGAAAAAGTGGTTCGCTACTTGCAGAATTGTGACAATGTAGGGGTCATCACATGTTTTCTCATATATTGTTTCGGTTTGTTCTCCAGAAGCCCTCATGTTTCCCTCCTCAAACCAGATACATGCCATGTGAACGCGCGATGTCAACCACATGCATGTTTGAGGTCACTGGTCGTGGATGGCCAAAGGAGAATCATCCCTTTTTTTGTTTCAATGGGATATGGGGAGTCAAGTTATGAAATTACCATGAGAGGAAGAACCATTCAATAACCAGCTATATAGGGTACCATCCGGGTACCATCCGGGTAGGGTGCCATGACCACCAGTGAAGCCAAGCAGAGTTCTTCTGCAGGCCGAGTACTGGATCCATGCAGGACCATTTTTAATGGTGCCGGCGACATGGATGGCTCAGACGCATCAACAAACTCGGGGTTTTGGGTGTGCACCATCCATTTTTCGATGATACTATACCGACTATACCTGAATTTGTTGCTATCCCCTACATGCACATCGGAATGATTCAATGAGTTTGAAAGTTTTTTTTAACCAGTCAAAATGTCCTAGAACAAATCAAAAAAACAATTTAGGACCCTGGAAGCCACTAAAATTTGTCTATTGAATTGATTCGTGGCAGTTCAGCAATTCAATTTCGGTACCTAAGCTTCACTCATCCCCAAAACGGTTGGATCCCTCCGCAGGACGTGGATCTGGAGTTTTCCCATGATTTTGCCCTGGACCTCTCTGGGCGCATGTCCATCCAACGTCCGGCCCAGCATTGACGTGGTGTCACTGCGCTAGGGCTGGTTCTCTACTTCAGAAGTAGCTTCAATATGTTTCAAAGTCTGAAAAATCCATAGATCCCACGGTTCAATATGTTTCTCCAAGACGCTGATGAAAATTCTCCATGGCTCCCAAGGTGCCTTGCGCTTGGCACAGCACGCAGGAAGGCGGCGTCCCAAGGCTCTGGTGTATTCGTTGGGGTTGTATATGGGAACAATGGTGGGGATATGGTACAATGCTGATTTTCACGGTGATTTTCATGGTCGTTATTTGTAGAAAGGTAGTATAATGGTGATTGATGGGAATATCATGGGATTTAATGAAGTATGAATGGAACATGGTGCACCTTTGGAAATGGAGAGCCATTTATTTGGGTTTTCTTTTAGTTTAGGGATGCTTTTTTTGATTTCTTCTTGTCTACTGCACTGCTTCTCTGCTTTTCCTGCTTTTCGGTTTTTTTGCTTTTCCTGTTTTTTTGTTTTTTTGCTTTTCTGCTCTTCTGCTTTTTCTTTTGCTTCTGTTTTTTTTTTGCTTCTCTGTTTTTTAGTGTTTTTGTGTTTTCTTTTGCTTCTCTGCTTTTGTTTTTCTTGCGTTTCTTCTTTTTTGCTTCTTTGCCTTTTTTATCGCTTTGTTTCTTTTCTGCTTTTCTTTTTTTTGTGCTTCTGCTTCTTTGCTTTTCTTGTTTTTTTACTTTGTTTTTGTGTTTTCTTTGTTTGGTCGTTGTGCTGTTCTGCTTTATTCTGATTCTCTGCTACAGCATCCACCAAACGACAACGACAAAGTCAACACCACCATCATCATTATCATCAACAACAACCACACCCACAACCATTGTAATAACAGCACCGACTGCAACAACACAACACCTACACAACACCAACACAGCATCGACGACACCAGCAACACCAACAACCCAAGAACAAGACTAACAACAAGAATAAGAACAACATTCAAGAACCAAGAGCCAGAACAAGAACAATCACAAGAAGAACTGCAACCAAGAACAAAAACAAAAACAGAAACGAGAACCACCACCACCGCAGCAGCAGCAGCAGCCGCAGCAACACAACACCGACGCAACACCAACACCAACACAACACAAACACCAACACATCACCAACACGACACCGACACGACACCGACACAACACCGACAACACCGACACAAAAACAAACACCAAAACCAACACCAAAGAACAAGAACAACAACGACAACGACAAAACAACGACGACGACGACAACGACAATAAACAACAAGAACAAGAACAAGATCAACAAGAACAACAACAGCAACAGCAAAAACACAAACAAGGTTTCATCCCCCACATGTTACAGGCGCCAGCCAAAATGCCAGTTTGCTGACCCAAAATCGTGCATATCATACAAAATGCAAGCTTGCAGCTTTAACATGGCACAAATACCTTGCAAAAAGCAAACCTGAAACTGCGAAATGCTGCAAATACCATGCGAAATGAAGGTTCCAGCTCCCAAGTGCTGCAAATAGCATGCAAAATAGATACTTGCAGCACGGGAATACTGCAAATACCATTCAAAACGAAGGTTCCAGCTTCCAAATGCTGCAAATAGCAATGAAAACATACCCAACCAGAAATCAACAAAAACTAAGCTAAAAAAGAAAAAAAGGAAATCCTATCCTTTGGAAATTCCATGTGGCTAGCTGGGAAATCCTCTAGAAACGGAGCTTTTAGTGGGAAAATCCTCTATAAATGATGATGGTCTGATTACCAGAGGATAATTCAGGATAATCAACTAAACTGCTGGTCTATGAAATTAATAACTGATACGTTCTGGAATATTAAAAAAAATATGAACGAAAAAAATAGGAGAAACTCTCATTGACTTCGATTTTTGGGATTTCAGAAAATCCCGTGTGCTGGCACCAAAGGGTACATACCAACAAAAATGGTGGTATAATTGGATACCCTCTGGTAAACTAACATAGCTATGGAAAATTGCCCATTTATAGATGGTTTACCTATTAAGAATTGTGATTTTCTATAGCTATGTTAAATTACCAGAGGGTATATACTGGGGACATAATGGGGAAAACGGGAAATTACCCGTGTTGGCGATGTCAGCTTCTTGGGGATGACTGGGGAGTGCAGTTGGGATTTTTGTTGGGATGTTGGCTTTTTTGGGGCCCAAGCATGACATTATGGTTATTTAAGTTACATACAATATAGCTACATATATCTTGTTACTGGAACTGTACCCCAAAGTATCCCCGTTGACCCAAGACCTAGTCGATTGTTTATAGTAAAGGGTTACTGTATACCAAAACAAACTGTATAGTGGGGACTGGGGACTATCATCATCCAAAAAGTGAGACTCTTTGTCCAAAAATGTGACCAAGCCCCTTAAAAAACTGCCATTTGAGTTAGAAAATGATGAATTTTCCATTGGATTCATTGGATTTCAGGTACCTTATTTTCAGACGCCTCCATTTCTTGGTGAGTGAAAAATCCCCATGAGATCCGACAAGTCATGACTGGATGGTTTTTTAGATGGCCGCGAGTTGGGGATGGTTTACGCCACCCCCATTTCCAGTAGGATTGTGGATACCCTCTGGTAATTTAACATAGCTATTGAAAATGGCCATTTATAGTGGATTTACCCATTAAAAATGGTGATTTTCCATAGCTATGTTAATTTACCAGAGGGTAGTTTTTGTTTTTACTTAGTCTCACTGGTTGTGTATATACTATATACGTCGTGCGTGGCTCAAGAAACAAGCGTCTACTTGTAGTTGCATTGTGGCTGGGTAGACCTGTAAAACAGGTTATCAGCCGTAGCGTAACGTTCTCTTTCGTAGGCATGTCTGCCCCCTCAGGTACTTCCCCTGAGGGCCCCGGTATTCCCGTTTCCTCTGACGCAGCCATGGCAAATCCGGGAGCCTTGCCTATTTCAGACACCCCATTTTCCATTGACATAAGCACACCCACTGGTTCCGACAAATCGCGTAGTTTGAGGGACAGACGCCACTTACCGCATTTGAGTAACGCAATTGTGCCTTCTCATGCCGGCTTTAACCATCGTGGATATGTCCCCCAAGCCGCTCGGGAGAGTGGGCCGCCGACTCGCCAGTTGAACCAAACGAATGTTCACAACATTTTCCATCACAATGTGCAAATGGATAATCCTCAAGTGAATTTTGTCGAGCAGAATTTGCATGTCCATTCACATGATACTGCGATGACAAGCCTTGTGGAAACAGCGGTCGAGCTCCGCCATCGTGAGGTGTTGGCTCATACCGAAGCTCAGGCAGAAGCGATCCACACGGCCAAGACTGAGGAGTTGAAGGAAGCTTTGCGAGTCCGCGAGGGCATTGAAAGTCAGAGGGCCCTAGATGCTATCAGAATCAAAGAACAAGAACTTTTGAATGCGGGTGCCCAATATAAGGAGAATTTACAGCATGAGGCGCACGAACACGTAAGGTTCCGTGAAGCTCAGATGAATGAGAAAATTCAGGCATATCAACGTGTCATTGATGCTAACCATCGACAATCACTATCAAGTAAGGAGCAAGAGATCCTTGAGTTGAAAAGGGCAGCTGAGGAAGAGAGAAGAATTCAGAATGAACGCATTACACAGCTTGAACACATGGTACAAGCCCAGATGCAACACAATCTGAAACTTCAAAGTATGCTCGATTCCCAATTTGCTCAGGTTCGTCCAAGTCCTATTGTCGAGACTGCCGCCATGACGATGACAGCCGGAACACACACATCAACGGAGATCTCAAATTTCGAGTTTGTTCCACCAACCCGCAAAGCTGCACCTGCAGCGCCTCCGACGAGTGTTGCCCGACCTCCTATTCCAAGAGCACCATTTAGCTTTACTTCACCTGGTACTGAAACTTATGAAAAAGATGGCATTGAGATTATTTATCATGATCCATCATATCGAGTCCCAGTTCAAGTGAAGAAAGAGTCGGATGTTGCAAGGTCTTCCGCTGAGGAACGCCCTTCGGGAGGAGAGGCCAATAATCGACGCCGAGATAACCATCCCATGGATAATGTCAATTCCCCTGCGCCGACCAACCAATATGCCCCGACCGAACTAGGCCCAGATGAAGTGGACTACTTCGAGCCGGGGGGAGACGATCTGCCAGATGGTGACGATCCCGGGGATGGAGGAGATGGCAACGGAGGGAACGGGGGAGGTGGACCACCCTCACCACCTGATGACAAGCCGGAGGGAAATAAGGGTCGTAAGATTCCCAAAAAGAAGGGAAATGATCAAAACCCCCCCGACGGTGGTGATGACGGCTATGATGATCCCGATGATGATGATGATGAAAAGTTCAGGCGAAGAATGATCAAATTTCTTGGTGGTTACGTCGACCAAAGGCATGACGATAAACCCAAAGTCAAGGAAGCTGACACTATCAAAATTCCAGCTTTCCCATTGGCGGAAACCTACCGTAATTGGAGAATCAAGACCAGAGAGGCAGTTGTAGCAGCATCAACCGATCCCGACAGTGCTTTCAAGTGGGTTAGTGATTCTTGGAAAGAAGATCAGACTCTTGAAGCGCTCCGGAAGGTTGCGCCGTTTGCGACACTTGATGCAAAGTTACTTTCTGCACTCACCAACATTATCACTGGTGACTTCGCCCGCAAGGTAGACACCTTCAAAGAGACTGAAGCCACCGCTGGACGAATTGTAAGAGGGAGACAAGTGTTGTTCATGTTGCATGACCACTTCAGTACCAACATCAAGCACGGAGCAACCTATGCCCTTCAAGATTTGTTCAGTGTCCAATTGCGTGGGGAGAATTTGAAGTCTTTCATTTCGAACTGGGATCAAGTGTTGGCTGGTATCGTCCAGACTCCTGATGTAAGTGTATTGGAGACACTCTTCTACAAACAAGTGAAGAATTGTAAGGCCATTCAACATGACATGAATGAGTATCATAGAGCTGATGAAGGAACCGAAAAACGAAACTACAGTTTCCTTGTTTCTGCCGTGCGACGCCACCTTGACCGTGAGAGGTTGGAGGCAAATCGTGATCGAGTTGCCAAAGGTCTTTCGGGTTCCGGTCGTCCCTCCGCTCCCGCAGTCGAGGGCAAGACAGGATTCATCCCCAAGGGGTATTGTGTGGCATGGAATAAGGGAGGCTGTAGCAAGGACAACTGTACTTACAAGCATGAAGTCCCCAAG